GGGAAAGACAATTTTGCAAAGCCATATAATGTGAGCCTATACTGAGCATGTGCATTAATGAGCTGTACGCACCTGCCCCTCCTCCAAAATAAATTGCTGATATAATGGCACGCAACGGATTAATTACATGCTGTAATATCTTAATAGGTTCAAAATGTTGGCAAGATCATAATGAATTACCAGCTTGCCGTTGTACACCCCTGCAACATGACTACTAGTGTTTATCTTAGTTTGCCAGCGTTCCTTTGCATCAATAATGTAGATGTACCTTGTAAGGTCGCTGACCTATGGCAGGCCAAAGTCAGACCATGGTTTCAGTGAAGGCAATTTGAAGGGAATCCTTCCATCTGATCCAAAAACGAAGTGTTAGACGAAGCCATACATCTTTGAGATGCTTTCTTAGGCAACACAGCAGTTGAATGAGCAAATTAAATGGACCTAAGGTCAGGTATGAAGGTCACACCAGGGTCAAAACCAACCTGTTTTATTACTCGGGGGCTTGCTGTATGGGATAGATTCTGGTGCTCATTTCGAGTTTATTGATAGCAGGAACCGCATTATGCATCTGCCATGGCCTTCTTAGAAGTCAAAATAGGTCATTGACCTAAAATGAACGAGGTCAACATTTTGTTTTAGGAACATACTGCTCAGCGTAATCTTTGTCGCTTAGTCAAATGCAAAACTCAAAGCAATATTGTATGATTGTGGTCACTTTGACCTTCAAAAGGTCAAAGAAGTTCACTGACGTTAAAAGAGAATGTGGCCTTTTGCTTAGCAACGGTTATCTAGGTTCTGGGGGCACTTTGGAGAAAAACTTGGAACTTGACCTTGTTTGACCTTTTTGACCCGAAGACTCTGACCTACGATCCTGAAGCGTTGACCTAAGTGAGTTCACGTACAGGCCAACACACCCTGTAAATTTGATATCTCTAGCTTTCTTAGTTCCCGGGATCTCGGGGGGGGGGGGCATATTGACCCCCACCCGAGCGAAGGGCATCTAGCCGGCCACTCGGACGCGTGTTAAAGAATACCAAAATATTGTTCTTTCTCAGAAGTACAAACCTCGCACTTACACTTTCCATCACATCAAAATCAATACAAGCCACTGGCACACACCACCAGTGATCACACACATTTCAAGCCCCCTATTCACACTCTTTTGTCAAATCGGTGTGATATCACACTTGAACAGCTCGCGGAGCTATCAAATTGTAGGTTTTCTCGCAATTTCCGCGCAGATTTTCGGTCATAACACCGCATTTCACCGGGACCTCCCTTCAAAACAAAGTCCCAACGGTGGTTCGTGGTAATGCGGCTCAAGAGTTTTTTCAAGAGATAAACACGCCAGCAGGGAAAAAGACAGATTTGCCGTCGCGTCTTCTTTTTTTATAACTTTCGGGAGAGTGTCCGTTTTTGGGGTGCCATAGTTTTTGCAGACAGTGACGTTATTTTTATAGCATTGACCCATAGCCGAGAAATAAGAAAAAATGGCCCGTTCACAAGTGCCGCACAACCCGAAGGTGCTCACGCTTACGTTCGCAACCCGCATCCAGCAGCCAATCATCTTCCGCGCATTGTATCATACGTGCCGCATCATCGCTTTTGCGAATGTGCCAGCGGCCATTCTGTTTTGACCGTAAGCAGGGAACAGCCTGTAGTATGACCGTGATCACATGATGTTTTCACGATGTCATTAATTCCGAGGCAATTTTTAAATAGGCTCCAAGTAAACCTTTTTGCACTTTTGCGGGCGTGTAACTCAGGAACCAGATCGTTTTGAGTCTTAAAAAGGGCATGACCGTGAACTGTATCAAAAAGTCCTCAAGATGGCTTCTTCAGTTCAAAACACCATACAAATGCGGAACATTCCCTTTAAGCTGATGTACATTGCAGGGGAATGCTCCTCCGCCAATCCAGGGAAGTCCGTGCCGTGTGCGGTGTCACCGCGTCCTGCTGAAGCCACCCCTCATCTTGATCCAGATCGCAGAGCGGTAGCGATGTGGCGCCCTGAGCCGGTGTTAACAGCAGCCTCGTTATTGCCCTGAAAGCACCTCCTGCTGAGACGCAGTTTGAAGAATGTGGTGTAACTGATAACCGCCATTGTTTTTATGATGCTCTACCGTCGGATGGTGATTTAAATGCCCGGCAGCCTCGATGGTGCGAGAAATACGGTTGGCTCTGTTGAACTGTAGGTTAACTGTTAGCTGCACCAACCACTCTGTATAAACGGTAGTTTCATATAAAAAAAAACAGACTGTTTCGTCTTTCCATGGCTTTGGCGTGGTTATTGGGTTGTTTGGATTATAGCCCTTTCGACCAGTAATGATCATTTCAGGGCTGTGGGATGAAGGAGACTGGGTAAAGGTGGGGCAGGGCTACATGCGCCTGTGGGGGGGGGGGGGGGGGGGCAACCGCCGGGCTAAGCCTCTGCGAGGCTTAGCTTTCCTGGGCGCCCGGTCAGTGGTCATCCTTCAGGGGGCCTTTCGGTCCACTCGTGGCTGGCGCATGTAGCCCGCCCCAGACAGGTGGGTTGTGGCTAGGATGCGAGATGGAGCAAGAGCGAAGATAAAGGGTCGGATGTCTGACTTCTTTGCGTACCTGATACTTTCGTATCGTTAAACTGCGATGTTAGGCACCGGGATGGACCTGACTTTTGTTTCGGCTGTCACTTTGCACGGAATTTGATAGATATTTCAGCACTATTACGATCTGGGAAACAGAAAAATCCACGATCCCCATGTTCCAAATCACAAAACACTCGCCCAAAGCCGCGTGCAGCGGCATGCACAAAACGTCACGCTCGCGACGAAGCCATCTGTCGGTCACAATCTAGTTCGTAGTTGTTTCTGCGTCCGCTGCGTGGCGACTGCGCCGCTATCAGTTGACGCGTAGAAGCAGCGTCGGAGACGGCCGGCCGTCGGTTGGCCGGGGTGTGTGCCGGGTATGTACAGCGGGCCTCAGCGTGGGTGTTTGTTTGGGAAGTGGCTGCCCTGCCGCTGCGCATCGCTGCAGGGCTGTGGTGGCGCCCGTGGCGGCGAGTGGTGGCGGCGCTGGTAGACCGATGGGTAAGCAGTAGCGGACCATGGGACGTTGGGACGTGCGATATGCCGGTAGGGCGTATGCAGCTAGCAATTGGGAAGTGAGTTTGAGTCGTCTTGGTGTCGTCTTTCGTTGGTTGTTGTGCATGCTCGGGCATTAGAATTCACTTCGCCAAGATGTGTCGCGCGTATGACATTGGACTACAAATTTTGATTTGCGAAGTGCCATAATGAACCGTGCTTCGAGGTAAACTTGATAAATCTCCTCCCCTGTCTCGTTTCGCATCCGAGATAGCACTTGGCGACCTCGCAGTCTCATGTTGACAAAGTAGTCGTATACCACTAATGGCGTGCGCAGTGAGTAGATGGAGTCGCAGATGCAGTCAAAGCTGATAGCGCTCTGCTCCTAGCGGCATAACAGCAAAAACACGCAGTTGTTAGTTGCTGCACCACACAGCATGAATGCGTGACGTGTTGCCCACATTTCACTTATGATACCCTGGTTCGAATTAAATAAAGTTTTTCTCCGTGAGAGAGAGAGAGAGAGAGAGAGAGAGAGAGAGAGAGAGAGAGAGAGAGAGGAGAGAGAGAGGGGAGAGAGAGAGAGAGAGAGAGAGAGAGAGAGAGAGAGAGAGAGAGAGAGAGGAGAGAGAGAGAGAGAGGAGAGAGAGGAGAGGGAGAGGGAGAGGGAGAGGGAGAGGAGAGAGAGAGAGAGAGAGAGAGAGAGAGAGAGAGGAGAGAGAGAGAGAGAGAGAGAGAGAGAGAGAGAGGAGTTTGCCTGCTGTTTCGGTGCAAGCGGCGGACGCTTATTCCGTGCAAGCAGTCGCTGGACTGTCTGAGACGCCGCTGTCAGTGGTCTTGTGAACTTGGGCACCGGTGCCGATGCTAGCCAGACCGACTTTTCTACAGTGATGCTCATTCATGGTGGCATCGCGTGCTCTGCAAGCGGGGGATCTGCTGTGCAAACGCACACGCTTCATCGGCGCCGCACTGTGTGACGGCAGTGACTAGTTGGCCTGACACCAGACTCGGTGGCAGTCGAGACGGCAGCGCGCTGGCACGGCGTGGACGGTTGTCTGATCACCGCCATGCAGCGCGATCAAACTGACGCCAGCCAATGTACACGTGACACTCGGCTCTGCACACACTGGGTATTACTTAATCCACCACACTCATCGCGTTGTAGTTATTGAGCATATTGAGCGACCCGGCCTCGGCTGCAGCCGCTGTACGTGGAAAACCCAACCCTCTATGCGCCTGGCGCCATTTGATCAACGACATACGTTGGGTTAGTTGTGTGCGCGGTTACCTATGCATAATAAGATTTGGTTTTGAACGAAATACCTTCTACGGTTTGCACGTTAAGGTGTGATGCTCATATAAAAATACAGTTTGATCTAGTTACCCGCAAACGCATCAAACTAGGGTGGGTCACGTTTATATGTGCTCGTCGCATTTATTGAGTGGATCACATTATTAAGTGCATCTCATTTATGGAGTGGGTCACATTTATGAGCGAATTTGTTCCGGCATGACAGCAGACAGCGTCTGTAGCCGCGCTTCTGCGGAGCTTGACGTCAGAACCATACGGTGCTGTCCCGTGGTGTGAGACCCGGTGCGGTGATCGGCACAGGAGGCAAGTTGAACGAAACTGTTATTATACGTTGTCTTCGTTTTGCTTGTTTACTGTTTCTTGTACGTATTGTGTCGTGTTGTCACGCTTTCTTTCCGTGTTATGAAGCTAATGGCCACGTCCCACTCCAGCCAGCAAACGGGAGGTCGTTGATATCCAGGATTGGCGTGGTCTCGGCTGCACATGGACGCAGGCGCGTACAAGCGTGATTGCATGGTGGCGCCTGTGACCTTCCTACCAGCTCGCCCGTGCTGTCAGGGCCCGTGTGCGCCCTGACAGCTCGCCCGTGCCGCCGTTCGTGCCCTGACAGGTCGCCGGCTTCGTTACAGACACCACCGCCGAGACCATCGAGCGCATGCTGGCGAACCTGCCGGCCAAGCGCATCTCCAAGCAGCTGTTCCCAATGCTGAGCGTGGTCCAGCTGCAGCGGCGGCAGCAGCAGACGGGCCCCGCTGCCGCCGCCGCCGTTGCCCCCGAACCGGGCCCCAGCGGCGTGTCGACTGGCCGTACCGCCTCGCGCCGGCTCTCGCGCGTCGAGGGGGTGCCAACGGCGAAGCCGCCGGCCGGCCGTGTCGGCACCGAGGAGGAGCCGGCGCGGCGGCGCCCCCTGCGCCGCCCGCCGGCCAGCAGGGCCGCCGTCGAGGCGTCAGCGAAGCGCCAGCTGGCAGCGGCGAGCGGCTGTGACGCGCTGGATGTGACCGGTCGGGACCACGCGGAGCCGGAGGAGCCCGCCGCGGAGGGCGGCTCGGGGCGCACGTCGGCGACCGCAGGCGCCGCGGCGGCCGGCACGCAGGCTGTGAAGGAATTGGAGTCCGTGGGGGAAGAGGAGCCCCATGTCGCGCAGCAGGCTGTCGCCACGGAGGCGAAGGAGTCGGCCGTGCACCAGATGCCCCAGTGCTCAGCAGCTGTGGTGCTCGCCGCAGGGGAAAGGGAGGAGCGTCCTGCTGCTGAGAGGATCTCCGCTTCGCAGGGGAAGTTTCTCGCTGCAGGGGCGAACGGCCCCAGCGGGCAGGCGTGTGTCGTCTCGGAGACAGATGAGGGCCACCCTGAGTGTGCAGGTAAATCACATACCCAGGCTGTGGAGACGAAGGACAATCGGACTGCGCTCGCAGACGAAACCCCTGCTGTGGAGACGGACTCGCCTGCGGCGCGGACCAAAGAAGCGAGCGCTATTAAAACGACTGCCGCGTTGAGCGTACAAACCTACCAGGCATGCGTCGTGCTGACGGACGAAGTGGATCGGGCAGCGAAAGGGGACACGGAGGGTTCGACGACTCGCGCCGCAACCACCGCCGGCGCAGAGGCAGCCTCAGACGTACTCGGAGAGGAGAATGTCTATCAGTCGGCGGAGGCCTCTGCCGCCCGGCCGACCGGTCTGACACCGGCATCGGGGCATGGCCAGCCGTCGCCGGGGGCAGCGACCGGCGCTGGCGCTGACGCGCCGTCTCCGGTGCGGGGGAAGGAGGGGCGCGGCGGGGCAGGCGAGGTGGCGCTACCACGGCCTAGTCGGAGGGCTGTGCAGGTGACGGTGCGTCGGTGTGACGCGCCGACGCGACCGCGGCCCCCCGTGCCCTCGGAACGGCGGCCCGGTGCACCTGCTGGCCGACCAGGGGGAGAGGCTGCCACACTCTCGGCGGACCGGCCTCCCGTGGCGGTGGGCGAGGGCCCACGAGTGGGCGAGGTGCTTGCTGTAGCGGAAGGCGGAATGTCTGACGAAGGATCAGGTCGGATACAGGCTGTGCGGACGGGTGTCGTTTCTGCCGCGGCGGTCACTAATGTATCGGCAGAGTGTGATGCGGGGCGGCCGGACCGGGGCCCGGCGGAAGCTCTGAATAGGAGAGTAGACCACCGGGCTGAGCATTCATCAGGTGAGAGGGCGCACCACACGTCTGAGGTGCACGCGCTCGTGATCGCGGCGACTGCTGCAAATGACACCACCCGTGCTGTGAATGAAATGACATCTGGTGCGGAGGACGGGGCTCCTGCTGTGAGTGTTGTGATGTGTGATGCTGCTGGGACAACCCGAAATGTGAATGCCATAGTGTGTGACGCGCGGGACACGCCAACCACGGGACAGACCAGTGTGCGTGCAAGGAAGGATACGACGCCCTCTGAAAAGAACGCAGTGCTTGGTGGAAACGATGTGACGTCTGCTGCGAAGGACACGATGTCTGATTTGGAGGGTGTGGTGTCTGGGTTTGAAGAGACGTCGCTCGTAGAGGGGGACACAGCATTCCCTGAAAAGGACTCAACGCCCAGTGGAAATGACACTATATGTAGTGGAAAGGACATTTCTTCCGGTGTCAGGAACGCGGCGTTCGACGCGAGGAACGTCGTACCCAACGCGGAGCACGTTGTGCCTGATCACAGTGGGAGATCGCCGGGTGCTGAGAATCCATTGCTCGCTGTGAAGCACGTAACGTCCGTTTTACAACTTACTGTACCTGGCATGAAGAACGCAACGGCTGCTGCGAAAGGCCCGCCGTGTGATTTGAGAGCCGTGGTGTCTGTCACCGCGGACACGGTGTCCGACGTCGCGGACACAACATTTGATGTGGAGGACACGGCGACTAACGCGGCCTGTCAGCGTCTCGCGCCGGCGGCGGGACGTCGGCCTCCTGCCCGGCCCGCTGAGCCCGTCCCGGCCTCATCAGTGAAGGACACGCTCGGGCAGCGGATGAGCCAGGTTTACAGCGAGTCGGCCGGCGTGGCCCTCGCTGGTCCAGCCGGAAGTGCGTCTGGTGCGCCGCCAGACCGGGCGGCGCCCACGTCAGTCGCGGCGCGCGGGGAGCCGCACCTGGCGACGGAGGAGGCGCGCGCCGAGGGTACCGCCTCTGGCAGCGAAGGAGACGCCCGCCGAGGTACTGCCTCTGAGGATGGAGGAGGCGCCCGCTCAGCTGGCGATGGCCGTGTCGCCCTCGCGAGGGCAGAAGATATCGGACGAGGATCATTCGGCTGTGACGATATCAGAGGTAACTGAACTTGCTGTGGCACGGGAGGGAGACACAGCCAGACCTGAGGCGTATGATGCCAGTGATCCGTGTTTGAACCGGACGAACGATAATGAAGTGCTGTCGGCGCTGGCCGTACATTCCATTAATAACGATAAGCACGACGCAGACGAAGCCATAACTGCTAAGAAAACCCACGAAGGCACGATCTCGGCAGAGAGCGTGTCAGGTACACGCAAGTTGCCAACGGAGGAAAATGTTTCGAGTAGGAAAATCACAATACAGGATACGACGCCAAGAAGTCCAAAAGGTCGAACAGAAGCCAAAGTCAGGCCTCGCGCGGCAGGAAACACCGCAGGGAGTGGCAGTTCACGGAACCGTTCAGCTGAGAAAACAACGACAGAGGAGGAGTCCAAATCAGGGAGTCCAAAAGAGCAACTGAAAGCTGAAGTCAAGTCCGCTATGGCAGGAGACGCCATAGGCAACCTCAGGTCGCAGCGTTCTTCTCGGAGCTCCAGCCTACAGCGGCCTTGTAGCGTGGCCTCTTCGGGAAAGAAGCCGGCTTTCACTAGAGCCCAGTCCAATTCCCCGCGGCCGTCCAGGGGCGCGCGGGCGCCCGCCGCCGGCGCCGTGGGTCGGGCGGTGGCGCGCGCAGTATCCAGCCCCTCGCCGATAGTGGCTCGCTCGCGCCGCGGCAGCCCGGCGTCCTCCGCGGCGTCGGCCAGCCGGAGCGGCCGGCGGCCGGCCAGTCGGCGCACGGGCAGTCCCGCGCTGTCGGCGACAGGAACCGGAACCGGAAGGGGTCGCGCTGCTGCGGTGCTGCGCAGGGCTGGGGCCGCAGCTGCCCGCACCGACGCTCCGGCCAGGAGCGGCACGTCTGCCCAGGGCAGGACCGGTGCGCCGGCCCTGGGCAAGGGTGGCAAAACCGTCCAAGGCAAGGTGAACACCCCGGCCCAGAGCAAGAGCCGCAACTCTTTTCAGGGCAAGAGTGGCGCGCCCGCTCAAGGCAAGATCAGTACACGTGCCCAAGGTAAGGATGATGCGCATGACAAGAGCAAGAACAGTGGGCCTGCCGAGGGCAAGAGCGGTTTGCGTGGCCGAGCTAGGAGCGGCACCCCTGCCCAGGGCAAGAGCGGCACATCTGCCGTGCTCACCCGTGGCAGGGTCGGCACGCCTCCTCGCGGCAGGAGTGGCATGCCAGCCCGAGCCAGGGCCGGCACCCCCGCCCAAGGCGTCAAGTCAGAAAGGAGCTGGAGCATGACGCCCGCGCGGGGCAAGAATGGGGCCCCTGCCCTGTCAGTGGCTACCCGAGGCCGGGCAGGGGTCGCCGCTCGGTCTCAGTCGGCCATCCGTTCAACAGCGGCCCGGCGTGAGGCTTCGGCGACCGGCGGCAGGGGCCGTCAGACGGGTGCAAGCCCGGTTCGGCCGGCCCCCGGCGGCGTTACGAGGAGAACCGCCGGCCTGCCGGCCGCACAGCGGGCCAGCAGGCGGGCGCAGACCAACACCCGCCGGGCCGGCGCGCGACCGCAACCGGCGCCCGCCAGAAAGGCGGTGGCCAGGGCTAAAGCACTGGCCAAGGGAAAGGCGCAGACCAAAGCCAAGGCGCAGACTAAAGCCAAGACACCCAGAGGATCCCAGAAGGGATTCGCTGGAAGGTCGCCAGAGAAACAAGCTCCGAAAAACGCTTCTGGTGGGAAGCTGAAAACGACAAAGAAGCGGACGGAGAACTCTAAAAATAGCTGTGCTGTCAAATTACCAGCTAAAACCAAGAGGAGACCAGAAGCTAACGTCAAACTAGCCAGCAAGTCGTTGGCTAAAGCCAAACAGACTGCACGATATAACAATGCGCTAAAGAATCATCCTTCTGTCAAGACGAAAGAATCCAAGCATCCAAGGAGGCCCTCGACGCTTCCGCTGAGTGAGAAGGATGGCGACGGTAACGGCAGATTGAAACGAGCACGGGGCACCACAGATAAAGAGGAGCCGCCGATAAAGAAGAAAAAGAACGTCGAGGCGAATACTGCAGAGGTGAAGCCACTGACAGCTAAAGCGGCCTATTTAAAGCATGGCAAGCAAAATGCTTTTTTAGATCACAAGCACACATCGGTAAAAAATGAAAACGTCTCAGTAGAAACCAAGCGCACCAATGATGGGCTAACGGCAGAGAAGCAAACGAATGCAGGGAGGAAAAGGAGGTTCGATTCTCCCGGCGGTTCATCGTCTGCAGCAGCTTCTGCGCTGGAGTCAGCTGACATGACTCGGGCTCAGAGAAATGCCGGCGCTGAACAGCCCGCCTGTGCGTCTCCAGCGCCACCAGCCGAGGCCAGCGCCGGTGCGGGCGCGGCGGCGGCCGGACCGGCGCCGGCTGCCGGTCCGAGTGTGAAGCGACGCCGCCGGGCCAGCGGTGGGCCCGGCGCGACGAGCGAAGCGGCGGCCGCCGCCGGGCCACGGCCGGCTGACGCCACGACGGCGGAGCGCCGACAGGCGGCGCTGACGTGCCCGAGGTGTAGTCTGCAGCTGCTGAGCCGGGCAGCGCTGACACGCCACGTCCGCCTGTGCCGCGTCAGGGACGGCGCCCGGCCGCGCTCGCCGGCCGACGACGACGACGAGCCGGACGACCCCTCGGCGCGGCCTTCCGGCGGCGGCGGTACCGGCCGCGGTGGCCCGCCGCGCCCCAGCCCGCCGCCGCCGGAGCAGCCGCCGGAGCCGTCGGTCGGCGACGCCCCAACCGGCGCGCCCTCGGACGGCGGCGGCCAGGCGGCTGCGGTCGGCGATCGGGCGCCACTGCGCTGTCCCCGCTGTCAGTGTCAGCTGCTGAGCGAGGCGCGACTGGCGGTGCACCGCGCGCGCAACCGATGCCGGCCGGCGGCGCCGCCACGTCAGGAGCTTATCAGTCGCCGGGAGAGCCTGTTCAGCCTGCTGCACAACCTGAAGCGCGAGCTGCTGGCGGCGGCGCCTGAGCTGACGCGCGGCTCTCCGGAGGCGACGGCCGCCAGCTTGGAGCAGATCCAGCTCGTCTGGCGTGTCGTCGATCGATTCAGCGACTGTCTCAACGACTGCAGGGAAGCACGGAAGGACCACGCCGACAGCACAGAGGAGGTGAGGTTCCCTCCAGCTGGGCGCATTTTGCCGGTTGGCGGACGAATGTGGCGCTGCCTTCTGTCGGCAGTCTGTGGCCTTTCACATTGAAGTCGGGTCACTTGCGTTTTCAGAAGATGGTCGGTTTAGGATTGCTGAAAGGTTCACCCAAGCGTAGCATGACTGGTGTTTAACTATTTCGTAAAAGCGGTCATGTGGCGACGGTCGGGTTTCCGCCGCTGAGTCCGCCGTCCGTCCGGCCGTGCCGCAGATGGACCGCAAGCGGTACCTGCGCGTGCGTCTGCTGGAGGGGGTGCGCGCCGTGTCGGCCGGCCGCGACGCGCACGTCACCGACGACAACATGGACGCCGTGCTGCTCGGTCTTGACGACCTCATGCGCAACGACGATGTGTTGCGCTTCCTGCGCGAGCCGCAGGGCCGCGGCCGGCGCGACTCGCAGCTGGTGCAGAGTCTGGAGCGACAGGGCCTGCTGGGCGGCGGTGGGCGGCGCGGCCGACCGGGCGGCGAGGCGCGCCCGCCCGCCCGCGGTGGCACGCGGCCCGGCCGGCTGATCGCGAGCATGCGCTGCAGCTTCAACCAGGGCGACGCGCTGGCGTATGATCCGCTGCCGCTGCCGCCCACGCAGCAGCAGCAGCGGGCCGTGTACGCTCCGCCGCCGGAGCCGCAGCCGCAGCCCGAGCTGGAGATTGAGCCGGAGCCGGAGCCGGAGCTGGAGCCGGAGCCGGAGCCGGAGCCGGAGCCGGAGCCGGAGCCGGAGCCGGAGCCGGGGCTGGGGTTGGAGCTGTACCAGTACGGCTCGCCTCGGCTACAGCCACCAGCACCGCCACCGCCGCTGCCTCCCGGCCAGGAGCAGCTGGACTCCCCCGGTGAGGAGGCGGAGCGGGACCGGGCAGGCCTGCCGTCTGCAATCGGGGTCGGCGGCTTGATGCTGGCGCCTCTGTCTGGTGAAAGATGTGGTTAGGTCATCTGTCGGGTTCTCTTCGTGACCAAAGTCAAAAACAAAAAAGCATTTGTTGTGATACAGTAGGTAAAAAGCCGACTAAAGCCTTTGCTCTGATGGTGCTGGGATCCGGCTCTTCACTGAGCCCGACGTATCGTCTAGAGACTGGCCCCTATGCCCAGCTCGCACGTAAAGGGATCTTTCTCACGATATGCCACGTCACGACCCCGCAGTCCATGTCAGGTGTGTCTGCTCTTTGTCGACGGAGCACGGTTGGCGTTTGCTCCGGCGGGGTTCTGAGCCCACCTGCGACGCCCATCTGCTGCTGGTTGGTTTGCTGTCACCCTTCTATTGGGTGCTCTGTTCGTGGCGCGCGCCGACTCTTACCCACATCAAACGCAGCCTGTTTCGGGCGGCGTCTGCCGCACGTCTGACTGACCGCCACCCAGCGGCAGTCTCAGTACGGCGCCGTCGCCGCCGCGTGGAGCTGACTACTCGCGGCGGCCGTTCGCGCCTCTTCGCGCCAGGCATTCTTGACTGTTTTTTTATCGCTGGCGCATTAACTGAAGCTGCATGTACATCTGCGGATATGTGTATCAGTGTGCTGCTTTTTTGTACGATCGGCGCTGAATAACCACCACGTGGATGCGCCCTCAATAAAATAAATGTGAATGCCGTTCCGGCCGCCTTCGTGGACTGTTCTTGCCACCGGTACTCGTCACTTGAGCAGTTGCCACTGTTCCGTGTATAGCGGCGTGTCAGGCTGCCAACAACGTCATCTGGGCCGTGTGATGCGCCGTAACCTTCTGACCCGGCGCCGTCCGGCAGCCTCCGAGCTGGGCCTCATCATGAGTGCGGTGCACTCGGTGCTGGACGGTCAGGGCGCCGACGTGGCGCCTCCGCCGGCGACCGGCGCCGAGGCGCCGCCGGCCGGCGCGGCCGACCTCTTCAGCGACGCGGCGCTCCAGCAGGCCATGGGTCAGTCGGTGACCGCCGCTCGGCCCCAGTGTGGCGGCGCGGCCCGAACACGGCACTGTAGCGGCAGCGACAGCCGTCGTCCTCGATGGTGACGAAGCTGGTGCTATGGGAGCGGTCATGCCATTTTTTACGTATGCCCCTTCAAGCTATGCCATGTTTATACAGAGATGAACTTCGGTAGGTGTTATCGCGCTCTGCCGTGTAGACGCTAAAAAAAACATTGAGCTCTTCCCAGGCGTGGCACCTTATGGCGAGTTGAGATGTGAGCGGAGGACAGTACACTGGCAGCGCAGGTCTGTGTCACAGGCGCCCTGTCGCGTGCAGACCGTTGATGGGTCGGGGGTCGCCAGCTGCCCCCCCCCCCCCCCTCCGCGCCAACTCGGCGCGTGGGTTGCCGCTCCGCGCGCCTTTCACAGAGCTGTGCATCGGCAGGCATCACGGACGAGGAGATGGCCATGCTGGAACAGCTGGGCTCGTGCCAGCAGCAGGAGCTAGTGTACGACAGCGCGGCGCCTGAACCCGGGCCGGCCCTGGTCGTTGCGTTCGAGACGGCTGACGCGACTCCGGCTCCGGCTCCGGCTCCGGCTTCGGCTCCGGCTCCGGCTCCTGTCGAGCCCGCCGCCCCGGTGTCGGCCCCGGCCGTGTTGGCCAGTCCGGCCGAGCGCCGCCGGGCCGAGGAGGTTCACGGCGAGTTCGAGTGCACCGTCTGCGAGCTGCGCTTCCTAGGCCGGTCAGCACTGCGCCAACACCTGATGTGGCAACACCGCGCCTCCGCCGACAAGGTGGACAGCAAGACCGAGCAGCACATGCCACTGCGGGTGAGTGCACCCCCCTCCCTCGGCGGCCGTGACGACGGCGGCAGTCGCCACTCTGCTGGTGGTGGGAGCGGAGTGTTTCTAGGGCGCAGTTAACGGGGGGGGGGGGGGGGATTCTGGGACGAAGTGCTCACGTGGCTCCATTGTTTGATACTTGGAAGGTGTTCAGACCTGCTGGTGACGGTGCCTTTGTTGAATTGATCATGTGCTGCGTCCTGGCAGCGACTGACGGCTTCGTATCGTCGCACCTGGTGCTAGAATAGCCGCAGGCTCTGCCTGCAGACGATGTAGCTTTGCTGGCCGTTGCGAAGTTATCATTGAATTGGTATTAAATGTGCTATGTTTCGTCTTGCAACATGTATCATATGTTTACCTTCCTTCACCATGATTGTGATTTGCAGTTGCTTTCTCGAGCGGTCGATCGTGCAGTTTGCCCGAGGAAAAAGTGTCCGGCCAGCGTAGTAAATCCATTTCAGTGCACTGGAGTCTTCAATAAACACAGCGGCGCTTGATGCGAGCGCAATTATTGACATGCTGTCTTAGCACCCCACAGCTGTGGTAGAAAGCAATCGTTCCAAAATTAACGTCACCTGTGTTAGCTTCGACTAATGGCCGCTTCACCGCACACTTTCACGTCCTAGGACTTCCGTTTAAACTTGTCCATCCCCTCCCCCCGCACCTGACTCGCTCCTCGCCAGCTCGCGCCTGGCTCATCCCTCTGCAGCTCGCGCCTGACTCGCCCCTCGCCAGCTCGCGCCTGGCTCGTCCCTCCGCACCTCGCGCTTGGCTCACCTCTCCGCAGCTCGCACTTGGCTCACCCCTCCGCAGCTCGCGCCTGGCTCACCCCTCCGCAGCTCGTGCCTGACTCGTCCCTCTGCAGCTGGCGCTTGACTCACCCCTCCCCAGCTCGCGCCTGGCTCATCCCTCCGCAGCTCGCGCCTGACTTGCCCCTCCGCAGCTTGCGCCTGACTCGCCCTCTTCGCCGCCAGGTGGTGCCGCCGGTGGAGCGGGTCGACGCGTGCCGCGTCTGCGGCCAGCTGATTGCCGACCGGCTGCTACTGACGCTGCACATGGCCGCCGCGCACGTGCCGCGCGCCGCCGGCCAGCGCGACCCGGCTGCCGGCCAGCGCGACCCGGCCGCCGGCCTGCGCGACCCGGCCGCCGGCCTGCGCGACCCGGCCGCCGGCCTGCGCAGTCAGATGAGCAGCGCACTGGGCGGCCTCCTGGAGCGGGCGCTGGGCGGACGGCTAAGCGGCGGCCGGGCCGGCCTCGCGCGGTGAGCTGGGGACAGGGAGTAGCGAGGAGCGATGGGCGCGAGAGCAACCCGCCTGTGACCACGGATTGCCTCGGCTGTGAGTCGACGGATTCTGGTGGGTTGTAGCGGCCGGTGTACGTACACCGGTGAAACCGCTGTCTGTTACGTCAAAGTCTACCGATGACAGACGTCTTTGTGTGTGATTGTGACGTCAGATTATGCCAGCCATGAACCGAGGAAGCGTTGAACACCAAGTGGTCGGCGGTCAGAGTCCGTGGCCCGCCGCACGCTGTGCCTGTTGCGTGTCGTCCGGGGCCTCTGCGCCCGCTCACCGTGCCGCCGCCGCTTGCTGCAGGGCAGAGGCGAAGGGTGTGGAGCTGGCGCCGGCGCCGGCCTCCGAGGCCGACCCGGCCGGTCGCCAAAGCCTGCCGCATCCTTGCCACGTCTGCGGGCAGAGGTGTGTGGGGCCCGGCCACGGTGGCGGCCGCCCGGTGTCAAGCACGAGAGGCAGCGCCGATGGGATGGCCATTGCAGCGCGTGCTCCTGGGTCTTGTCGTGTTTGTAGTCTTGTTATTGACGTGCCTCACCGGACCTGGTTCAATTACGCCGTCGAAAGCAAACTGGGTGGCACTAAACCGCAGACGGTCTGTATTCGAGTGCCTCATCAGTAAGCTGGCGATACGTGCTGTGACTGTCCTGTGTCCTCCAGTGCGGTCACTAAGATGACGAGAGCGGGTTTCCCACAGCAGCCCCTCCTGCGGCGCCTGTCGGACGGTGATGTGCTGCGACGGTCATGTCTTCACCGCGCCGGCCCGTGACGTCAGCGCCTCGCCGCCAGGTTTCGGCTGGCGAGCGGGCTCGGCCGCCACATCGCCGCCGTGCACAGGGACGTGGAGCTGGACCTGGCCCGGCTGGGCGACGTCAAGAAGTGCTCGCTCTGTGGCGTCATCTTCGAGAACGTGACGTCGCTGTCGCTGCATGTGCGCATGGCGCACCGCGACGCCGGCCTCGACCGACAACACCTGGTCGGTGAGTGCGGCTGGGACTTCCTCGTTACGTTCTGGGTCTCGACTTCTTTTTTCCTTGTTACATTCCGCTGGTTCCTGATACCCGCTGCCGACCGTCCAATGAACCGCTCACTCCCGTCCGCCGCTCGGTGGACCACTCACCCTTTTCCGCCACTCTGTTGAGTTGGCCGCTCTATGGACCGCTCATCTTTGTCCGCCGATCTGTGGACCGCTTAACCACGTCCGCCGCTCTGTGGACCGCTCACCCTTGTCCGCCGCTCTGTGGACCGCTCATCCTTGTCCGCCGCTCTGTGGACCGCCCACCCACGTCCGCCGCTCTGTGGACCGCTCACCCTTGTACCGCCTCTCTGTGGACCGCACACCTCCCTCCCTGTATCATCGCTGTGTGGGCCGCTCACCCCTGTACCGCCGCTCCGTAGACCGTTTACCCCCCCCCCCCCTCCCTGTAACGCCACTCTGTGACCCCTCTGTCGGCGTTGCGCTGGCTCGGCTGACGGTCACGCGTGCGGCATCGCAGCGCTGGCGTCCCAGCCGGCCGCCGTCGCCGCCAGCCGCGTCCTCTGCCCTATCTGCGGCGAGAGTCAGCTGATCGCCGGCGCCGCCGGCCTGGCGCGCCACCTCGCTCTGGCGCACCGCGGCTGGCGCCTCTCGCTCGAGCCCGTGGACGGCGAGGTGAAGTTCACGTGCCGGCCGCTGGCGAGCTCGGCCGCTGCCGTCGTCAAGCCGGTGGTGTTGCGAGGTGAGGATGTCAGAACTGCCGAACCGCCCTGCAGGCGCGAGTTGTGCCGCAATTTAGACGAGCTTGCGCTGGGCAGTGGGCAGAGCTGCCAGGCTCATACGCGCCATGTCTCGAACGCCCCCTCTATGCCGCATTGTTTTGTTTTGGGCGTTTTAGGTTTCATGTTTGGGGCGAGGGAGCGGAGCACCCAGTTCAGCCTCGGTTTGTGGGCGACCCTTTTCCCGTGGTCTCACATCTGGGGTATGTGCTGACCTGCCTATGTCATCTGACCCAAGCTGATCTCTCCTCGTTCCGAGTGCAGGGGCGCAAGACGAAACGGCACGGCCCAGAGGAGCCGCTAGCGCGGGCGACTCGTCCCTGCTCGATATATCGCACTGTCGGCCGCCGGCGACAGTGGCCGCCGACGCTGCGGCCACTGTCGGCGACGAGCAGCAGCAGGGAGACTTCATGTGTTCCGGTGAGGCCGCCGCGCTCGCCGCGCCGCCGGTGTGGTTCGGATTCTTCGCTGTCGTGCCTGCCCGTTCGCCCCACACGTCGCCGCCATGTACGCATGTCGTCGGAGCCGATGGACCCTGACGCGTAGCAGCGCGTCGAACGTCTCGAGTGAGCAACGGCGTGATGCATGGTCGTGCGCCAAATGTTGAAAGTGGAGGACCTGCGCAAACGATCGCGTTCTGATGCCAACTGCCTTCCTCCTCGGGTAGAGTGCGGCTTGGCCTTCCCGGCACCGGAAAAGGTGATGGCCCACATGGAGGAGGAGCACCCACTGGTACCGTCTCGGCCGGAGAGCGACACGGTCAGTAGAGCCGGCCGCCAACTCTGACTCGCGGCCAGAGCCGGCCGCCGACTCTGGCCGCGAGTAAGCGACGGTCAGTAGAGCCGGCTGACTCGCGGCCAGAGCCGGCCGCCGACTCTGGCCGTGAGTAAGCGACGGTCAGTGGAGTCCGCTTACTCGCGGCCAGAGCCGGCCGCCGACTTTGGCCGCGAGTAAGCGACGGTCAGTGGAGCCGGCTGACTCGCGGCCAGAGCCGACCGCCGACTCTGGCCGCGAGTAAGCGACGGTCAGTGGAGCCCGCTGACTCGCGGCCAGAGCCGGCCGCCGACTCTGGCCGCGAGTAAGCGACGGTCAGTGGAGCCGGCTGACCCGCGGCCAGAGCCGACCGCCGACTCTGGCCGCGAGTAAGCGACGGTCAGTGGAGCCCGCTGACTCGCGGCCAGAGCCGGCCGCCGACTCTGGCCGCGGGTAGGCGACGGTCAGTAGAGCCGGCTGACTCGCGGCCAGAGCCGACCGCCGACTCTGACCGCGAGTGGGCGACGGTCAGTGGAGCCGGCTGACTCGCGGCCAGAGCCGACCGCCGACTCTGGCGCGGATCAGCGGGCGCCAGGAATGCAATGTGGCGGGGCTCTCACTCGCTAGGCTGTGCTGCACTGTCGGGCTTGTTGGTCAGTTCGCTGCGTGTTTTTCATTGGTTGACTCTCTGTATTTGCTGACGGAATGTATAGAAAAAGGTCGTTTTAACAGAGGGATGAGATAGATAGATATTTAATGCATACGCATTGTTAAGCGTCAACGATGTTGAACGCGTTCCTCGGTGTAGGACGTGGAGGGCGTGCCCCCCCCCCCTCCCCCCCAGAGCTGCGCTCCAGCAGCCAGCAGGCGCGGTGCCAGTCCCCGCCCGGCTCGGCCCCGGCCCTGCCTCGCCCGGCCCCGCCGCGTGCTGACGGGCTCACGCTCACGAGCCGGGCCACCAGCAGGAGGAGAAGGAGGCTGGCGGCGCCGAGCTGCGGCGGCTGATCGCCGGCCACCGTCACCAGGCGGCGCTGGCGGCGCTTCTGCGCCAGCTGCGGCCGCCGGCCGGCCGGTCCAGCCAGCACGCCGTGCGCCGGCTGGACGGCGCGCGCAGCCGCCAGCTACTCAGCTGGCTGGAGCGGGACGGACGACGCGGGGGGCACGGCAGGGCCCGCCGGCCGGCCGCCCTCCGCACGTACAGCAGGCTACGCACTGAGCCGGCACCACCACCGTCGGCCGGCCGCCTGCTGGCCTCGATGAAGCGCAGCTTTAGCCAGGCGGACAGGGCGTCGGCGGAAGCGGCATCCGCGCGGGATGGCGGGGCGCCGCCGGGGCACACTGCCGACGTGGAGCCGGGAGTGCGGGGGGCGCCCGAGTGTCGACCTCCCGTCTCCGGTGACGGGTAGCAGTCCCCGCACGACAAGAGTATGCGTCTTTCTGCTGGTCCACTGCACCGAGATGGAGGTGGCTCGCCAGGGGACTGGAGCAGGGCACTCAGTGTGGAGGCGGTCTCCGCTGTGGAGAGAGCTCCAGCGTGATGTTGATTGGCACCTGTCTGAGTTGCACAGGCGCGTTGTCTCAAGTGGAGACTAGTGTACAATTTCTGAACATTTCATCTGAATGTGTGACCAACTCGCGCCGAACGAAATGTGGACGCGTGTAGAAATGTAGACGTCGAACCCTCTGGACGACGTTCTCAGACGGCCTGATGGCGTCTGTTCCGTACGTGGCGTAGCCGATGCCTCACTGGGCCGATGCTGATGCCTCACTAGGCTGATGCTGATGCCTCACTGGGCCGATGCTGATGCCTCGCTGGGCCCTGCCGTCTGGACGACGTTCTCAGACGGCCTGATAGCGTCTGTTCCGTACGTGGCGTAGCTGATGCGTCACTGGGCCGATCCTGATGCGCCACTGGGCCGATGCTGATGCCTCACTGGGCCAATGCTGATGCCTCACTGGGCCGTAGCCGGTGCCTCACTGAGCCGTAGCTGATGCCCCACTGGGCCGATGCTGATGCCTCACTGGGCCCTGCCGTCTTGGCTGGCTGCATGAGATGAGCACACTTTTGTCTGCTATGAGTGCACGGCACCTGGCCGCGGAGGGCCTGGCCAGTTTACACTGGACGCCTCACGGACACCGGTGCTGCTACACCGGGACCTACTGTTGGCGGGGCCTGTTTCAAGCCTCTCTCTGTATGACACAAGACGCGAGTTTCTATGTACAGTTGTATGTCGGCTGTATTTTGAAGTCCTGACCGTTTTCAACGCGACGCAAGCTCCAATAAATCGGTGATGATGTTTTGGTTATCTGATTTCGGGGCGTACGTGTTAGGCAGGGGTGCCAGCTGCGGCGCTTAGCTCCACATGATGCTGGATAGTGCAGCGTTCTAATCATGAAGCCGTCATTGACAAATGCCACCGGACATCGCAATGTACCTTATCGCGGGCTGGAAGCACCCCATGGTGGCTGGTGCGGAGGCGTCCAATCCAGTCCAACATGAGCATCGCTCTCTTGGTTCTTATCTTGACGTCGACAAGCGAGTGAGGTGGAATGCTTCTCTTGGCGCAAAAACCGCAAGCGAGCCATTGTATCGTATTTTAAGGGCCTTATCTTTACGTGAACAGGGCAAAGCATACTTCACTTACATACTATACGCACAAACTGTTTGGTTTTTTTCTTAGCGAAGACGAATCAGATCGAGTGCTTCCGTATGAAAATAACTCGCACTACGCTTGCGAGATATATTTATTCAAGCCGATGCATAGATGCACCAGATACTGGAGGGTGACATGTGGTCACTTCTGCGACGCGTATTCATGTTCACGCTTGCGTAATGATGCCCGTCTGAACTGGTGCTAGCAGGCTGTTTTGCTTAAATGAGCACAAACTACACTGTGAAGTAATTCACAGCTAAAAGCCACCCGGTAGCCATCTGGTCCACAGGACACCACACTGCAATTACTGCAGCCCAAATACAACTCACAAATATTTTTGATTAGTCCTGAAGCTCGCGCCCGTGCTATCAGGGCCCCCTGCGGTGAGATGTACCCGCGCCTGCCCGTATCTGCCTGAAGGTCACGCCGGGGCTCCCGGGGCTCCCAGGGCCTCCCGCGGTGAGAAGTACCCGCACCTGACCAGATCAATCTGCGCCATGGTTGAGCTACATCCCCCACCATCGAGTCCGAGCCCCTGACGAGCAGTCCCTGGGTCAGGGGCCGGGCCAGTGAGCCTGCCGGCCGTCTCCGGCCGCTGCGGTTGCCAGTGCGGTCCCCGGGCCGGGCGGCGGCCGGGCTCGTCCACTGTGTACGGCTGTTTGGCCGTCGCTACCGACGCTGGACGCCGGTCGATAAAGCCGCCCTCACCTGGCGGGCGGTGGCGGCCGTAGTCGTGGGACGCGGCCGGACGGCGGGACATGACGTAGCGACGCCGGGCGCGCGCACCAAGCACGGCGGCCAGCTACCCCGGCCAGGTCAGTGACCCAACGACGTCGCAGTGTAAGAAATGGTCATACATCGGTTTTCTGGGAGCGCTGAACAGTAGATTGTCCCCCTTCTTTCAAATGTTTTTCCTCGTGGCGATGTTTGCTTTCGAGGAGTTTGTGCTATTAAAAATTGTTTTTGTTAACGTTGTTAGTTTCGTTGTGCGGCAGTGCGCTTCTCGCATGTGAAGAACTTGACAGGTTTTTTAAGTTAGAAAATAAAAATAACTTCGGTACCTTCGAATGGACAAGTGGCTGTCAATGAGTAGGTATGCTTCGAGTCTCAGTGCACAAATAACTCCCGTTCTTGCTCTTTAATTATCCGGAGAGGTAAAACAAAGCATATCACAGATCGAGGACTTCTCAGGGACGCGATTTCCTCCATATATATTCATACCCCGCTTTGGGGACTTGCTTCCATAACTGCTCTCAGAGTTAACGAATCCGTTGACAACTGCAGCTTGCAGTTGCATGCAGGTTGAGGCGGCTCGCTAGTGGAAATCCGAGCTGAGTCGCCTTTTTTCCTGTCCATAAAGTAGACAAGAACGAAGCTGATCCTACACAGCATGGTTCATCTCTAACGGCTGCTCACGAGGCTCCCCGCCCCCGACATTAACCACTATCCGCCGTATCCGTCGACGCAGGTCCACCGTTAATATAGGATGGGAGAGAACATGAACCGCTACATGACGCTGGGCCAGCTGGGTGACGGCACCTTTGGCTCAGTCGTCCTCGGCCAGAGGATAGACACCGGTGAAAAGGTCGCCATCAAACGGTGAGGTTCTGTGTGTTATGTGGCGATAAGGGTCTGTATTCATAGGCCACGTGTTATTGCAATGCTTCCAACATCAGGTAAAATAAGTTAGAGATATTCGACGTAAGCAACAGCTGAACCAGAAAAGGTAATAGAAACGAAAGTACTCCGGTGATATATCGCAACAACTGTGAAGGTCAGGGTATACTTTCCTACTTAACGTTAGAAAAAATCGTTGTACACCATTCGTCGTGTTTAAGGCAGGACATATCGTAAATAATCACAAAACAGGTAGATTCATGCTCTTACCTTCGATTTTTTGTATAATTACGATGGCGAGCTCCCGAGCGCCGCACACACACAGCACCCTCGACACCGGCGCCACTTATTGCGCGCGGTCACAAAATTACTGCGCATCAAGCAGCATCAAGAATGCCCAAAACCGACCTATTCACTTTCGAACGAGTGCGTATGTATGGCTGCTGCTCGCCGCGCTCTGGCATTTGTGTCAATGTACGAGGTATTCAGTTCTTATTCAGATTGGGTCAACCTTACGTGGCTGTGACCCAGGACGACCTGCGCCTGACTTACAGCCGCATTGTGAAGCTTTTCGCGATTTCCATATTTCTTGCTTATTCTCATCAAATGTCGAAGTCAAGACTTTCGATATAATAGCATTGGTAGTCGACTAGGTTATAATGCTGGATGAGGTAGCACTTCGTACTATCGCCATGTTGCAGTAAAACCCCGCCTGATAAAACAACTTGCGTGCACATGCCTTGAGAACGGTACGCCGCTACGCTGAACAAACCGACATTTGGAAACTGCCAAGGGCTGCGACCATCGCATTGGCTGCAAATGCACCAGTCTGCCAGGAGCGCGGATAGGGCTGGATCGCCCAGGGTGAAAAATCGCCCGTAGTTCTAGTGCGACTCGCCCGGGTTCCGGCGTCGCCCGCATTCAGCGCACCGAGTCACTGCTGGCCGCCGGGTGTCCCGCCAAACTTCGCCTCGGCCCCACCTGTCCCGAGCCCCGGAGGCCAGAGCGGTGGGTCTTGCGTGAACGGCGGCTCACTATGGCCAGCATTCATCGGTAATCGACTGGCTCAAGGTCCCGGCGCCGCACTGGCACCGGTGCCGTACATCTGCCCCAGCGGGGGAGCGCCTCACCCCAGGCGTGTGTTGACAGTACGAGGGCTCGACTGGCGCCTGGTCGCTTGGGTTATAGACCGCCGACGACCTCGTGATGTAGCAAACCAGGCAGGCTCTTCACACGCAGTAACTTTTGCTATTCGTGAAGCGTGTCCGAATCGCTCACTCGCCTGGGACTTAGTTATTACGACTAAGAAACATAGTTGCATTGAACATGTCTTTTTTGGTATGCCACACCTTGTAATGCCTACATCTTCCAGGATGAAGCGGAAATACACTTCGTGGGAGGAGGCAATGAACCTGCGGGAAGTCAAGGTACGTCACTTGTTTTCCCGTTGTCATGGTAACCCGAATGTGAATGTCCCGTTGCTTACGACACACCAGGTCCGTCGCGCGATGGACTGGCGTACGCTGACGGATTTCAGTAGCGTTAACTCCAGACGGCCCAATTTGTCCGAGACCATGGCTTTGGTCCGCTACCAGCTGGTGGAAAAGGCGTATGTTAATTTCATGAGAATGTTAAAATGTGTTCGTTACGAGCCGGCGATCTTTTCGGGAAGGGCCGAAATGCTGTATTTCAAAATCATACGATCACCTTCGCTGCGTGCCGATAACCACGGCCGCCACCCGACCCCCGGGCAGGTGCCAGGGCGCGAGGCAATAGTCCGTAGGTGGTCCGGAGGCGGTTGATCGACCCAGTCCGACCGCGAAGGCCATCTCCGGGGCCAACCGACGCGCCTGTAAGGCACTGTTTGCACGCGGCGCCGCGCCGGTGCCGCTCTGTTTGCCAGCGGGGAAGCGGCTACGCGCTGCTCAAGTCAAAGCCAGCCGGGGGTCACGATCAGGTTACCTGCCAGGCTGAGCTCAGTCTGGACCGGGCGGGAGGGTACTGTTGGCGCCAGCTCAGTCTGGACCGGGCGGGAGGGTACTGTTGGTGTCAGCTCAGTCTGGACCGGACGGGAGGGTACTGTTGGTGTCAGCTCAGTCTGGAGTCTGGACTGGGCGGGAGGGTGCTGTTAGTGTCACCTCAGTCTGGACCGGGCGGGAGGGTACTGTTGGTGTCAGCTCAGTCTGGACCGGGCGGGAGGGTACTGTTAGTGTCACCTCAGTCTGGACCGGGCGGGATGGTACTGTTAGTGTCAGCTCAGTCTGGACCGGGCGGGAGGGTACTGTTGGTGCCAGCTCAGTCTGGACCGGGCGGGAGGGTACTGTTGGTGCCAGCTCAGTCTGGACCAGGCAGGAGGGTACTGCTGCGTCAGTGGAAGCGGGTCTAGTCTGAACTAGCGCGCTGTCGGGTTGACAACAGCGGTTCCAGTATGAGTCGGACGGGTGCGTACTGTTTGGCCAGCCAGAGGCGCTTAGGTCTGAACTGAAGTCAGAGCCTCTTTCCGCGGGGATGACAACCCCCTGGAAGCCAGCTTCTTGACATGTTAATTTGCACCCGGACGTTGCTGAAGCACGACATACGATGCCAGGTGCGATTGAAAGAGAGAAGCTGGGCTGGCCGTTCCTTGGCTCAAGCCGGTGCCGGTGCTCCATATCGGCTGGCTCCGGACCTCGCCGACGCACCAGACAGAAACGCGTGCATTTGTGCATCGAAGGAGTTCATTTAGTCGGCATTAAGAGGGAGCTCGACAAAAACGATGACGAACATCGACTATCTGAAATCTGTTGAGAGAAGAACCGTTCATTCAGTCTGGTGTTTATTTAAATGGCGCTTCCACCGGAACCAACGTTTGTTCCCAACGGCAGATATTGGGCACGGCAAGGTCCGTAGAGGCAGCACTATGCCGCGGGCAAATACAAACACCGGGCCCGAATGATACTAGGTATCCGTGGTTCGCACCTAATGCACTTCATTTCTCATATACGCGGAAGGAGCTCTGTCGTCAGAGAACTTTACGAGTTCACCTTAGAGAGTGGGCGACGGGCTGGGTTGGGTACATGTGCTAAAAAATACGGCATAGTAATAAATATTGGTAAGAGGTTTACAAATGGCTGTTAAGTGCTTAATGCAATGCCACGGAAGCTTGCTGCTTGTTTTTTTACATATGTGTATGCTTTTACGATGAGATTTGAGTACATCTGCGCCCATGAGCACGTGTAAATTCGGTTCATTTGTAATTGTTTTGGATGTGGTTGACTTTTTTCTCTGTTTCAGTCCTTGAAGAAACTGAGCCATGCAAATGTTGTCAAACTGAAGGAAGTGATAAGAGAAAACGATACGCTTTATTTTGTTTTTGAATATATGAAGGAGAATCTCTATCAGATGATGAAGGAAAGGTGAGAATGGAGTATGTTGCCACAATATGCGCTTTTCTCGGTTGCCACAAAATGACCCAGCATGCAGCCGTTCCCGGACATTCTCGACTGTGCCGGCAACACAGCACGCATCCAAAGCCTCGCATGCGAGACTGTCGCGGCTTCAGTTGCGTCTGTCTTTCGTCCCTCGACGCTGCTGTTTAGGCTGTTGTCCAAAGTGTTTGATGGATAAGACGCCTCACTCATATACTTCCCTCCATGAATTCATTCCGCGTGATTTATGGGCGTTTATTCACGTTTGCTTTGTGCTGGTCGCAAGAACACGCGGTTAAGTCGAACAAGTTAGTGGTCTAGACCGGGGAAAGGCAGAAATTTACCGTGAGTGGCTGGTTTTAGTATTGCTAGAGATGCGAGTTTTGCTCTGATCGCTGGTCTGTTCTTCCTAAATTTGTTAGTGCAAGCTGTCTATTGGGTTTTCTCTCTTCATGGACTTCCCGTTCTCCATTAGTTTGCTTCGACCTCTTTAAAGTCACACCTCAATATTGAAGACATTGACGGTGCGACGGCTAGTAAAAGGTGACACGGAGGCAGTGAGGTGATTAGAAAGAAAAAGTGATGATAGTGTGATTGATTACGGAGACTTGTTTCATCGGCTTTATATTGCAGCCAGCAGAACCAGCGGGCTGGGAGAAGGTACGTTCGTTTGCTATGTGTTAACACATGCCTACGGAGTTCTAAGCACATAACTCAGTCATTTGAATAGCGAGGTGTTTAACCTCCCACCATGCAGTAGGAAAGTGAACCCCAGAATATAACGCTACTTTAGAGCAGAATCGATTTGTGATCAGCACGTCGGCTATCCAAATTACGACGCTTGGCCGCTTCCTATTAATCTTGGCACCGTCATACAGTGGTTATGATGTGCATGATAAATCCACAGTTAATTAAAAGGACCGACAGCATTAAAAGCAGCGCTTTGCTACTGCTAACCTAACCTAAAAGATCTGGCGCGGTTAACACACCTTAAACCAATGCATGCGGCACACCCCAAGTGTGAAGCATTGAGAATCCTCAAAACAATGCTTAGATAAAGGAATAAAGAATAACGCACGAAGTGTATTAAACCAAGTGCGCAAAGCGCGTCAAATGCAGCAGCATGCTATGCCGTGGTTGACATTCTTCTGTGGCCACGAGAACGGGCTAAAGCCATATGGACATGATTAACGACATTGCTTTCGTTGAGCATGGTGTGCGCTAGCTAACCTCAGCATGATCGACGCACTCCCACGCTGATCGGCCCCGGATTCAAGTTCCCGCCCAACCATTGTCAGAATGTTCGCAGTTTTGTATAGTTGCACGGGACTCGCTATCACGTCAAGTCGTTTTCCAAGAATTCTGACATTGGGGTCCGGCGCACAAGTCCCAATGCCCTAGATTGTGTGTGCTCACATTTAAACGTCTCTTGCCTGAAACGACGCGCTTGTTGTCATTTTTGCTTGAACTAACATGCAAATGATGTTTATGCCGCACAGAATGATCTGTGATCAGACAGGTTCCCCAGTACAAACTCTGTGGCTGACGAATCTGGATTTTCTTTTTAATCCCAGTTACAGAGGGATTGGAGACTCAAGTAATTTGATTCCGATTGCACGATGTGGACTATCATTTTTTGATATTTCAAGCGGTGCGAAAAGGAAATAACTCCGATTTTTGTTCTGCTATGGAAACAATAAAAAGGGTTTTACCATGTTGACTGTTTGGCCATGGCAATAATATTGTATGGCAATGCCTCTCGTTCTGCTTGTTAGATACACCCTGTTTTATTTCCTTGAAGCCAGAGGCATTTAATGCGAGCGCATCCCATTGTTTTGAATGAAAGTCGCCGTAATTTTGCATAAACTGTGGGATGGGAGAAGAATTATCGCGATTCTCGACAGTGCACGACCATCTGGTCATCAGGTCTGTGTGAATGATACTTAAAGGGAGTGTTCCATCTTTGGGGTCTATTTCAGAAACAAACTCTAGTGAAGCGACAGGACTAGTTGCGTCAAAAATTACACTGTAGCGCCACTGAAGCACGGTCAAGGCAAAACGATATCAACTTCAATTATTTTCGAGTCAAAATCACGTTCACGATGTTCTACAACAGCACTACGCCTTTCCCTGCGGTCGCGAACACCGTTGCCGTGATGACCGCCGTGCTCACCTCAACTGATGCGAATTAAAAAAGCGTTTGTGATTTGTCCAGCGTGCAAGCGCCTGTTCCCGAGAAGGTGGTTGGTTGAAATTTAGACCGGCGCGTCTCATGGATCATGTGACCCTCCCATTCCCAAAGCCGAAGTGCGTGTGGTAAGCCACTGACACTGGTGGTGAGACACTTTGCTGGTGGTGATTACATCACGTTGGTAAGCACCATGGGAGAAAATCAAGGTCACAGCATAGCGCCTCGTCAAATTCGCGGGATAATACCCTCATGTTCGCATGCTTTGTTGTCTAAACATAGCGTTTCCAGCTTTCGTACCATTTATTGCACAAATATTTTGGCATGCTAGCGTGTTACAACATCAAAGAACACACAGTCGGAAAAGCGAGGAAAATGAAATGTATTATAACGGTGAGCAGGGAGCCAAATGAAATTTATCCCGCAAGGCTGCTTCAAATCGAATTTCTGAGCTATTTAGAACAGTTTCGAGAGGCCGCTATTACTGACCGGATCGTGCGCGTCTGATTTAACAACAAATAACAATATAAACAAGATGCGATGCTCCCTTTTAGCGTGCTTGATAGGCACGCACCAGCATGCCACTTTTGCTGGCATCTACATTCACACCAATTGCCAGGCTACTCGATTCGCCAACAATGATTACCATTCAGCTACACATCTTCGCGTTTAATGCATCGCATCTAGCGTTGACTTGAGTGACGCGAGTCATGAGCGCAAGCAGCGTCCAGCAGAGCCGTGGAATGCGAATGCCAGTCGATCCGTCAGCGATTACGTAAGTTGTTCAGTGCATTAGCGAGGAACATTATTCGCATAGATAAGACAGTAATGATAGCCTTATCACTCGGAGAAAAACCAGGAGAATGGGGATATAGATGGACTGATATTTCGGCCTTTATCGAAACATGCCTTTATAGAAACAATAGCAAAAGTCAATTCAAAATTGTCTGCTGATGAACATACCCGATTTTTTTGATTTTTTAAAGCAGCAAGCCACAGTTTTTACCGGACACCAACATGCAGGGGATTGGACAGCAAGCGATTGCCAGCCATTACCACAATACCGTGCCTATCTAAGAATTAGAATACGCAAACATACGTGTACATGCGAACGAATTCCAGCAAATAGGCGCCACGCGTCACGGTTCATTCAAACATACGAGCGAATTGAAGTAGACAGGCATCACATGTCCCTCCCATATGTCCCTCCCACGTTTTTCACACAGTCTACACTTTATTTCGTAAACCACGTTTTTTGTCGTATAAGGCTTTCTACACAAACCTGTCAGGACCGCCGCACTACCAGTACACCAGCTCATATGGCGTGCCCGAGGGAAGCTAGGCTGGTGTCTCGGGCACAATATGTAATGACCCCGGTGTTGGCGCAGTCCCGGCCCCGGCGGTACCGGAAGGAGCGCGTGCTTCACCGACCGCTCCCTGCCCGTTCGGGCCGACCGGTATCGGTGGCTAGCGTGACTCCCTGCTGCTGAGCGCAATCCCGATCTGCAGCGGTTCGTACCAGCTGCCCGGGCGACATTCGGGGTCCTGTTGGCTCCTGCAGGGCCCAGGGGCAACCTTTGGGGTCCTGTTGGCTCCTGCAGGGCCCAGGGGCGACCTTTGGGGTCCTGTTGGCTTCTGCAGGGCCCAGGGCGACCTTCATGGCCCTGCCGGCTCCCTCAGGACCAAGGGGTGACACTCGGGGTCCTGCCGACTCCTTCAGATCCCAGGGACGACCTTTGAGGTCCTTCCGGGTCCCTCAGGGTCCAGGGTGACCCCGGAGTCCTGTCGGCTCCCCCAACTGCCCGAGGGTGACCTTGGGGGTCCTGCCGGCTCCCCCAGTTGTTCGAGGGTGACATTGCGGTCCTGCTGGCTCCCCCCAGCTGTCCGAGGGTAGCCTCAGGCACGTGGCCGCTCCGTCGTCGGCTCCCGGTTAGCGGCAGCCCGGGATCGCACCAGCGAAAGCGCCATGGTAACTTGCGTTTCAGCAGGAGGCCGCCGAAGCCAGGACCTTGACAGCATATCTAATGACCGACCTGATCTACATCTCTTTCGCGGGCTGCTGACCCCTCCGGTGTATGGCATGACGTCACGGAACGCAGCGACCCGCCACGCGTGGATGTTTTCTCGGAGCCGATGACTCGGAGGCGTGCTGCTTGCTCGCCCCGCCGACTGGGAATCTCGGACGGTTGCAGGGACAAGATGCTGTCGGAGCCGGTGATACGCAACATTATGTACCAGGTGCTGCAGGGCCTGGCGTTTATGCACAAACACGGCTTCTTCCACAGGGACATGAAGGTGAGCAATTCCCGACCATCAAAGTCAATCGATGCGATTGGCGACCTTTTAAAAGGGAACGTGGCGTATGTTGTGACGCCCTTTTATGGAACGCGAGCAAATGCATTCGTCATATTAGGGCTCAGGGGCCATGGTGCAACCCTGGATTCGAACCCAGACCCGATACGTGGGAGTTTCACGAGCTGCAACTCGGGCAACTCGGCCATCACGCCCATTTAATAATTGTATACTGTTATTTACTTCGGTATAATGCAGACATTATTCAGCGTCATGGAGACACCGCTTGGCGCTGACTATCCTCAGTTCATGAGTGTGGTTGCGTATTTAGTTGGGGCTCCAACTTCCCCCCACTCAACTTTGAGGACTAAGTGGGCCGAGTCCGGGAGAAAACCGTTTGCGACGTATTTTGGGAGCTGGGCTATTTTTTCCTTGCTTAGCCTCTCCCTCTGATTTGCGAAACTCCGTCCCTGCCCTACGCCCCCGACCTTTCGGAGCCCGGTGCACGCCTCCGGGTCGGCTTAAGTCCCCCATATAGAATCGATTCGCCGCGCATGTGTTTCCAGCCAGGAAACCCGTTCGTTATGCAAACGCTCGGCCGTGAAACAAGCCGCCGCGTTCACAGCCGGAAAACCTGCTCTGCATGGGGCCGGACCTGATCAAGATCGCCGACTTTGGGCTGGCCAGGGAAATCCGGTCTCGTCCCCCCTACACGGATTATGTCTCCACCCGGTGGTGAGTCGGTGCCAGGAGGCAAGCGTTGACCCTGACGCCTGCACGCACTGCAAGTCTTCACCCGCACAGGATATATGTGTGACATTTGGTTGCCTACAAGCGCGATGCGCATGTAGGGAAAGAACTGAGGCGAAATAAGTGGTCCTGTGACTGAAACAATTAAAGCAAGCGAAATGTCAGTAAATGACTAACAACAAAATATAGCGTCATAGGCTCCTCCTCCGAAGGTCAGTGAGAAGTTTTTGGAGCCTTGACATTATTAGATATTATTAGATTAGCCGAGGCACGTTGCCTTGAAATCGATACAACTGCTGTGCGCCAAGTCTTTTTACCTACTGGGCCCAATACTTACTGCTAGACGTGCTTGGTTTGGCCACGGACCCCCGATGACAAGCGCCTGGAAGGTTTTTCAGCGCCGGCCATGCCGCGCTGAAGATATCATTGACAATGCATATCTTAACGGTCCTGTGGTCGACACTTTTAATCGGTGAATTAAAACAACAGGCCTCGACTTGCAATCGTTCTGGAATCGTAGCCAATCCAGCAGCCGGCAGCTCAGATGCTACCGCGGTAATGAGCTGCTCACCAGGCCGGTGCCCCGGCTGATAATGAGGGGGACGGCCGGCTGGGGCGGTGGTGACCGGGTGGGGTGGAAGGCCCTTTAGACTCAGTCTTTCCACGCAACACCATGTGGTGGATTTTCATAATGCCCTTTCCAACTAAATCTGCCATGCGATGGGTGGGAACACGTAGTGTTTAAAGCTGGTGTTACGAAATCGCGTGTTGGGGGATACTCCCCCCCCCCCCCCCCACCATCAACATGAATATGGCGCGGCCCGCGGCCCGTGACGTGGCCGCCGCTAGTCTGCGCACCCCGTGACCATTCACACTGGATCGGTCGCTATTCATGGAAGCGAACACCTGCTGCCGGCTGGGGCCCTTCAAGCGTGAGAGCCGACCGTTTACCGGGTTCAATGGACCACCGCTGTGTGTATGAGCTTGCAAAGCATATCCCCGCCTCCTCAAGAGCAGTGGCGAGCGAGCAAGCGCCGCTCATTGAACTCCACGCCCTGCGTCCGTGCGCAATGTTTTCCTGGCCAACCGACCAATGTTTCGCTAGGCTCGCCGTCGATAATTCGCACATTTGCCATGTAACACCGTTTGGAGCTGGACAGCGATGACCCGGACCTCAGGCGCCATGCCGACGGTCGCACACGGCTGGGCAGCGGAGCAGTGCATCGTGCAGGGAAATGCCGCGGCATGCCCCACCTCGTCCGCTTTGTGAGTCAGCCAGCTGGCCTCCGCCGACGCGTTCCCATGCTTCTGCAGGCCGGTACCATTCAAGCAGGCAAGCCAGGTGATCCCTGTAACCCGACACCTCCGTCTACTCATGCCTCTTATCCGTCTTACTGACCCGCCTCCGTGACCCACGTGACCTGAGTGACCCCTGTGACCCGGGTGACCCCTGTGACACGGGTGACTCCTGTTACCTGAGTGACCCACATGACCCGGCAGGTACCGGGCGCCGGAGGTGCTGCTCCGCTCCAACAGCTACAGCAGCCCGATCGACATCTGGGCGGTGGGCTGCATCATGGCCGAGGTGTACACGTACCGGCCGCTCTTCCCGGGCAGCTCCGAGATCGACGAGATCTTCAAGATCTGCTCGGTGCTCGGTACGCCGGACAAGGTACAGCCTCGCCGGGCACCGGCACCACACGGTGGCGGTACTCCAACAACCTGACATTTTCAACCTGCTGCATGCGTTTCTTTGTGTTGGATTCATGCTTGCTGCGTTGTGGCTGTTGACGCACGTGTTGACGGTCTAGAAACAGCCCGATGCTGCGGGATGACGCGGTAAAGTGCTGTGCACATAAAAATTTGTTGTGATACACTGGGTGTCTGTTGTCCGCACAGCACCGGCGACCACGTGATGAAGCCAGATGGCCACGCCGGTGGGTTGGAACGTGCCATGGACTGGCCCCGTATGTCAGCCAAGTTCACCGATCAAGTCCGCTGCGCGCACTGACTCGAGCCAGAGTGCATGCAGCGTCCAGTAGGAATGCGTGTTACAATGCAGCATTGCAACAACAGAGCGCCCTGCCTCCAGGCGAGGCTGTCGTGCTCCTCCCTCGTACCATCGCCGCATTCTATCAGGGGAAACTGGCAACGTCCGTTCCCTTCGTCGTTAGTGATGGCGTGCCTACTTGACCTGACGTGACCTGACCTGGCTCTCGGCAGCGCGACTGGCCAGAGGGACACCAGCTGGCGGCGAACATCAGCTTCAACTTCCCCCAGTTCAGCCCAACGCCGCTCGAGACGTTGATCCCAAACGCGAGCGCCGAGGCTATCATCCTGATCCGTGACATGCTGCTGTGGAACCCCAACAAGCGGCCGACCGCCCAGCAGGCCATCAGGTCAGCGTGGCGCCAGGCCGGTCAGGCCAGCCCGCCAGCAGACAGAGACGTCACAAAGCTGTTTCGCTTAGCAGCCGGCATCACCCCTGACCAGCTCCGGTCAACAGACAGTGACACCAATGACTTACTTTGCTCAGCAGACGGCATCGTCACTGATCTGGTGTGGTCTGCAGACAGTGACGTCACTAAACCTGCTCCCGTCGGCATACAGTAATATCATTTACCTGCTTCCGTCAGCAAACAGTGACATCACTGACCTGCTCCTATCAGCAGACAGTAATATCACTAACCCGCTCTCGTCAGCAGGCAATGATATCACTGGCCTGCTCCCGTCAGCAAACAGTAATATAACCTGCTTCCATCAACAGACAATAATATCACTAACCTGCTTCCGTCAGCAGAAAGCAATATCACTAGCCTGCTCCCGTCAGCAAACAGTAATATAACCTGCTTCCGTCAGCAGACAATAATATCACTAACCTGCTTCCGTCAGCAGACAGTGACATTACTAACCTGCACCCGTCAGCAGACAGTGACATCACTGACCTGCTCCGGTCAGTGAATGTGGACGTGAGCCTCTTGGAACAAGTGTATGCCTATAATGATTCGTGGGGGGGGTGGGAGGGGTGATGTTGTTCTGCACTGCTCCGGTCAAAAAGGTCCCAACAAAGACACTATATCTCAATGATAGAGCACCTTCTGGCCCTAAGATCGATTGTCGTGGATTTGACGTTATCTGTCGTTAATTTCCTTACCATTGGCGTACACTACTTCACACTGACGGCAATGACAGACCGAGGCGTCGCGCGCATCGGCAGTATTGCCTGCGTTTCCGTAGATCTGCTACTGCTGTGCAGCGACAGCTGCTGAGGTATCCTTACTGTCTGCGTGACCTTGACCCTGATGCCTGTGTGACTTGTTGCCGCACCCGCCAGGTACCCGTACTTCCAGGTGGGTCAGAAGCTGGGCGGCGGCCACACCTCGTCGGCACCAGCAGCCTCTGACAACGCCGCGCGCGGCCCGCTCGGCCAGGCCGGCGCCGTGCGCAGGTCCAAGTGGGATGACGACGAGTTCAAGGACGCCATGGGGTGCGTACGTGCGCTGATCTCGGCCGGCGCCTCTGGGAATCGCGATCTTAGCGCCCGCAAGTCGCGATCCTGGGGTCCGCGAGCCTGGGTGTTCACGTGGCCGTCTATGAGCAGAGGCTTACCAGGAACTTTGCGGTTGGAGCTCTCTTATAGGTTTGCATGATGACAGCATGTCTGGTGACCGAATAAATGCACGCGGCCTGCCACGAGCAGGGAGAAGTGATCTTCGTCGTCGCATCCGCCTGCGCCTCCCTCCCGCTGACGCGGACCCGGCCCGGACGCAGGACCATCGGCGCGCCCACGGGCGGCGGCGGTAGGGGCGGCGGCGGCGACGCCGGCCGCTCCCAGTCGCGCAACATGACCGCCAAGCAGGTGTACCTCAACAAGTCGCGCTACGTGGCCGGACAGAACACGAAAAACGCCCAGTACGGTGAGCGCCGACGACGAGGAGGGGCATGGCCACGCTGGAGGCGGACTGCCACACGGCCGGGGCGCAGGCCCGGACTGAACGCTGGATCCGCCGTCCTGACAACTGATTCTCGCCGCATGCGCCAGCGGCGGTCAATCGTTGGTTTGGAAGTAGCTTCAGCTGGAACAAAAACCGCCTATTTTTGGTTTCTTGAATTTTTTCCCATATGATCTTGCGAGCTCAGGCACAGGTAATGCCAGAAAGATGAAGGCAAAATCTTATTTTCACAAAAAATGACCAGGGAGGGGCGGTAGGGTCGGTGCGGCAGTGCCCTTAGGCTTCGCTGGCTCGTCTGTAAGTACTACGAATGAACTCCATCGATGCTTTTTATTCATGACGCTGCTGCATTCTGGAATGGTAAGCAAAGGTGGCCTTCTTTCGGGTACAGGACCGGGCGGTGTAATGTTAAGTTGAACAGTATTCTTCTTTCCTTCCACAACACTGGGCTTCAGTCCGGAACGTGCGGTAACTACGAACAGCACTGAGATGTTGGTGGCAAAAAGCTTGCCGACGTGGTCGCCTCTTTTGAGCTGCGTTTGCGCCTGCAGGCAACGCCGGCGGCAATGACGCGAGCTCGGCGCAGGCGCCGCACGCGTCCTACTATAACAGCACCACGTCCATGCGCTCCGTGGCGGCCACCGGCCGCAACGCCATGTCGGGCGGCACGCTGCATGGGCGCACCGACTGGGCGGCCAAGTAAGTCCCTGACCTGACCTGACCTGACCCGAGCGCGGCGAGTGCAGCACTGCACAGTTGGGGTCATGCCAGAGCCGCCAATCTCTAAATGTGGGGTGCCATTTTTGTTTGGTCACGCGCTCAGCGAATGGCTCAGTACGCCTGTTGGAGCCCAGTGGTCGCGCGTGGGAAAATGAGAACCTCATTTACCTATTCCTTAATGCATTTTGCTTTTTGCTGAGCGCGTGTGTGTCATGTTTTGCACTGTACAGTTGCTGGGCTTGTTTGGAGCACAGAGTGGTTTGGCGTGCGGTGCTGGCTCACATCTGCCGTGGGCCCCACCACGAATGTGACTGCTGTGGGACCTGTCACGAATGTGACTGCCGTGGGACCTGTCACGGGTGCCGCGTGACCGCCGTCCGCTCACGGAGCGCCCCTCCCGCCTGTCTCCCGTTCGAAGGTATAGCGTGTACAGGCCCAGGGGCGGGGCGGCGGCTGCCTCGCGCACCACACACCTGGGCCGCACCAACTGGGCTGACAAGTGAGTGACACGCGCAGCTTCCGGGTGTCAGTGACACGGACTTCAGCGGGGCCCTTATGTCACCGACGCGCACTGCAGCGGAACCAGGGGTGTCACTTTGTATACTTTCGGGTGGCCTGAGCCCTCCCCTCATGCTGGCCTGAGCCGCCTCAGTGCTGTTATGAGCCCGCTAATGCATATTGGAAATACTGGGCCAATGAAGTGCAGCAAGTGTCTGCACTGTCAAATTTATTGTATCAACTCCCTAACCCATTTTAGAGAGTGACACCCCTGAGCACTGGCCTTGTGCCACTGACATGGACTGCGAAGCAGGCCTTGCGTCACTGACACGGAGTGCTTAGAGGCCGAGCGTTACTGACATAGACTGCGAGCAGGCCTTGTGTCACTGACACGGACTGGCTAGCGGGCCGGCTGTCACTGACGTCGGGTAGCAGCTGTTCTTTGACACCGGCACCGACACGCGGAGGGCGCGGATCAGGAACAGCAGAGACCGAGAGAAGCCAATTGGCAGCGATCGCGGAGCACACTAACTAGGTGTTTGGTCCAAGACCCGACCTGACCTAGTGTGGATAGTTTTCATACACTTAGAATTGATGTCCAGGCACACGCACGTCTGCTGCAGCGCCGCTCACTGCTTACGATCGTATAGGTCAAGGCCACCGTCACCTGGAGCTGCGACGAGTTACAGCAAAGGAGTCAAAGCATAGTACACACTTGTCAAGCGGTAATAGTTGTCAACTCCTTTGCCACAGACGCCAATGTTTTTCTTAAAGGTAAATGACCACTTTTCTCCATGCATTTACACTTACGAAATCAAGAGCCAACAGGTTTTCAGGGGCTTTCACACTGGTTTATTGCCCGCGAGGCGGTTACAGCTGTGTGCCGAGGGGACCAGCCGGGATCAGCAGTTCGCCGGTGCTCTCGACCGGATCAACAAGCTCGCGCGGCTCTCCTGCAACCAACCCGAACCTTGGTCACAAACACCCTGCATGTTCCCGTGTCGCTCCCGGCAAAGCCTCGCCTGTTTGCATCACGTAACCACGCTGGGATCGTGACTTGGAATGCATTCGCGACCTGTGATCCTGCATCGCACGTCGTTGGTCGGTCAGAGCGTGCTAACCGTTCGGTTGTCCTTTATCCACCTTGTGCTGATAGATTCAATTGAAAGTGGTCACCTTTCTGCTTTCTTTGAAGCAGAATCTCTTCGTTGTGTCTCTAGGAACAAATCGTCTATTAACATGTTACGCATGACTCATGCCGCACATGGGGCAACTGTTTTGATTCCAGCAGGGCAGGCTTCCTTCCTGGGCTTACCTTGCCTTCGTTACAGAAGACAACGAATGAATATTCGTCGACTGTACTTCTAATCTAATTACATGGCGGGCGGTTCTAATCCCACTGCTAATGTAGTGTATCCATCGCTGGTGTTGCGTCTTAGTACGTGGTAATTAAAATGCATGTACATAGCACAGCGTGCCGCACAGTATTGGCGAGGCGGTGATTCATTTTAATCGGCGGCTGTTCTCCCCAAACACAAAAGCGGTGTTAAGCCGAATCCGTGTGGGCCGTTAAGCCGTGCATGTTAAACCCAACAGACATGTGCCGGTAACTTGGTGACTGTTTTCCTCAGATCTGGACCCAGCCGTAAAAGTCGGTTTGCACATTTGCAGTTCCACTGATGGCCACTTGAGCGTTTCGGCCAAACGGCCTGTGCCGATTGGGAGGCGATGAGCAACACTCTTGTCCCACAGACCGCAGAAGAATGTCTCACATCGTCTTGCTGGCATTCAATGAAACAATCTGCACACAGTGCAATCAGCTACTACCATTCTAGGCATCAGGAATACACCCACTTGAGATGATGATGATTGGCGTCCTAAAACCCCAATCATCATCATCACCCCCAGGAATACACCCATTGACCTAAGTCCAACAAACGGCCTGAGTCCCTCTCTGGTGGCTAAGTCCCTCTCAGGCTGAGTTCCTCTCAGGCTGAGTCCCTCTCACGCTGAGTGCCTCTCTGGCTGAGTCCCTCTCAGGTGGCCTCCACCTGATGTGTCCAACCAGCCTGTGCGCTTTTGTCCCAGGTACCTCAAGTAGGAGCCGCACTGGGAGGGCCACGCCGCAGCCGTCTGCCATGCACGAGACGGGTCGGTGACCTCCGGCTGACCTCGGCATCGCGTGGGCCGCCAACAGCCACGGGCCGCCAACAGTTGGAGCGTGCTGCCAGTCGACGCACGCTGCACATGTGATATCAGACAGCGGCGTGACCTCCCATATGCCGTCCGTGCAGTGTCAAATCAACCTGTGACGGGTGGCTCCGCCGGCCAAGCGGGGATAGACGCAACAGTGGAGCCCTCATTGGTCCGCGCAGCAGCCATTGCTGTTACGACGACGTAGGTCGGACCAGGACCCGTTTTAATGCTGCAGGTGTACAGATGCGGTCAGATCACAGCAGAACACACCCACGTTGTACCTTAGAAGTTCTTTATCAACTTACTACATCAGTGTGCATGTTGTGGTCGTTGTACCAATTGCGTTTTGTAGCGGAATTCGTAGCATTCGTACTGGGACAGAGCCGGAAAAAGATGGCGCATAACGCGGATATCATGTCCTTTGCCATATCGCGCGACTGTGCGGGGATTTCACATGACAGTTAGGTTTGCACATACCCAGCGATAGACGGAGGAGTAGTGAACATTAAAAAACGTGCGTCCATTGTCTGTCCGACTATCGCCAGTTTTTAAGAGCTTTACTCCAAACCTTTTGATTGGATGGATTTCTGTGATCAGCGTCCACGCTAAGAGCGCTTGTTGTGCGAGTCCTGCACCCACCACCCGATAGTAAAGTTCCGGATCAACGGCAAAATTTGGTAGCGAAAGCTTCACGTACTGCAATGCTTGGCATTCTCTGCCCTTCCCTGATGTCACCTGACCTTTAACGCGGCCGCGGCCACCTGTCGCGGACCATCCCAATCAGGGGGCAGAGGCAATAAGTAACTCCTTCAGTGACTCGAGCCTCGAACCCGTCCCCCCACGGGCGGGGGGCGGGGCTAGAAATGCGACCACCCCATCCAGTTTAGCTCTCGGAGCAGACAAGTTACACGCATCATCCCCACATGTTCTGTTCCAAATGAATCTATTGCGGAGCTGTTATCGTACAACCGCTGAGCCTCGCTTCAAGCTATCCAAAGGAACACTCAAAATAAGAACGTCAAAATCTTTGCAAACCGGCACCCAGAAAGCCGACCGGCCAAAGCAGCAGCAGCTCAATCGCTGCCGGCTGATCTGTCTACTGGCTGTTACCAAGACCTTGGTGGCCTCGGTATTCGGATGCTCTGACCAGACCACCGATGCCCGTGCTTTGCGCCCCGCCGCGCGTTGCACGAGGGAGCCTGCTCAGTGCAACTGAAATGTTCCATGCACGGTACAGGCGTCTCATCCGGTACATGCTCACTTCAACACCTTTGTCTACACGTCATCGGCATTGCGTAACAAGCAGGTTCGTTCCGGCTGACGCTATTTTCCTGGTTACCCCGCATCCAGCCTTTGACCACGCCTTTCAGCGCCGCTGCCGCCGGGTGTCGGCAGCGTGTGCGAATGCCGAGGCTGCGGCGAATGTCGGCAGCGGGCGAGTATCACCAGCCGTTGCGAGACTGTCGGCGAGTGTAGCAGCGGCGGCGGCCGCTCAGCCGCTCCAATATCAGCGCCTGTATTGCCCAGAATGCTGCAAGGCATCCGTAACTGGGCCTCGACTTGTTTGTCCCATTCCATACCAGCATTCCGGTCGAAATACATAGCTGTCCGCTGAACGCGCGGCCTCTCGGACTGTTTCTACTGCAGCGCAGTCTCCGGCCGGGAGCGGTACACCGGTCCGTGCCGTGCAGCCACCGACGGGAGGTCGTTGCGGACGTAGCACAGCCTGTTTGCCGTCTGTCTGCTCCACGGGCGGAAATGATGAGGCATTGCTGGACTAGCCAGTCGCGTCAGGCAGCTAACGCGCCACGACGGCACCCGTTGTGCGAACACAACTGCGCATAGAAACACCGTGTGTATTGTTCTCAGAGCACATACGCACCATAAACGTTCTACGCGGTTTACTTGGAAGTGCAACCAAAGCGGAGCATAGCCATGTCACCGGAGAGAACCAACACAGGAAGTTTACACGCCCAGGGTCGACTCCGTGCTCAGTCACGCGGAATGACGACATGCCGCCAATTCACACCAGATAGCACGGCCGCCGGCCCAAAGTCCTCTCCAAAACGCAGAAGTACGCCAACCACGCCAGTTCCGTCACCAGCCCTCACAAGCCGACGGGCGCCACAGACGCCGGCCTCGTCCCCCCCCCCCCCCCCCCCCGGGGGCGTACGGGGCAGGGTCACTGCAGCGCGTACGCCCTCAGCGGAGACCGGCCGTCTCGCCAACCCACCGCTTGGCCGGGTAGCAGGCCGGGTTGGTGCACATAGGACACGTCATGAGCAGCTGCGGCCGCACACCCTCGCCCGACTCCAGGTGCGTCTTGACGATGTCGGCCAGCGCCTCGATGAACTCCGGGTGGTCGTTGGGCGCCGGCACGCGGTAGATACTGGCGCCCGTTTTCTCGCCCAGGTCCTTGGCGTACTCGATGTCCAGCTCGTGCAGCGTCTCGATGTGTTCGTTCACGAACGAGATGGGCACGAGCATGAGGTGCTTGTGGCCGCGCTTGGCCATCGCCTCGATGGCGGCGTCGGTGGCCGGCTCCATCCAGGGCAGCGGGCCCACCTTGGACTGCCAGACGAGCCGGTAAGGATAGGCATGGCCCAGCTCGGCCATGACGGCCTGCACGGTGGCGCCCACCTCGGCCGGGTACGGGTCGCCGCGCGACACCGCCCGCAGCGGTAGCGAATGCGCCGAGAACAGCAGCACCACCTTCTCACGCGCGTCGGCCGGCAGCTTGGCCAGCTCCGCGTGGATGTTGGCGGCGAAGCTGCGCGCCAGGCCCGGGTGCGTGGGCCAGCGGTCGATGACCGACAGCCGCAGCTCGGCCGGCAGCGGGTTCTCGCGGCAGTAGGCGTGCAGCGCGTTGATGCTGCTGCCCGTGGTAGCGCAGCTATACTGCGGGTACTGGCTGAAGAGCACCAGGCGCCGCGCGCCGCTGGCCACCACCTCGGGCAGCGCGTCCTCAGTCAGCGGGTGCACGTAGCGGAAGGCGACGAAAGTGCTTGTGCGGCGCCGTGTCCGGAGAGAGCTCGTCCAGCCGGCGGCACATGAGCTCGCCCTGCAGGTTGGTCCACCGCAGGATGGGCGAGCCGCCACCGATCTCGGCGTACTTCTCCTGGATGGCGGGCGTGCGGCGGCGCGCGATCCACGGCCCCAGCCGGTTCTGCATCGGCAGGTTGATGATGTCCGTGTCCGAGAAGAGGCGCAGCAGGAAGTCGTGCACGTCTTCGCGCCGCGCCGGCCCGCCCATGTTCAGCATCAGCACGGCCGTCTGCGGCACGGCGGTGGCGGCGGCAGAGGAGGTGGGGCGCAGCAGCCGCGGCGCAGCGCACCGCGGAGACAGCAGCAGCCGGGCCGCCGGCAACAGAGCCGACATGGCAGCGGCGGCGCGCGATTCGACGACGGAGTACCACTCAGCAGGCACACTGAAAACAGGTGGCACGTCACTGTCAGGGAGCCTCCTGTGATTGGGTCAATGCCGCAGCTCACCTCCAGCACAATGCAAAAAGCAAGATAGCACAATGGATTGAGTAAAATCCATGGAACACAGTAGACCAAGGTTTCCTCCCTCTTCCTTTGACAATGTCATGTTACATCCATTCTAAAGGTGTGCCAGGTGCATCAACCTGCCTACAGTGACTTGAATTTCAAATGGAGATATCAGCAACATCATCAATGCATAACTATTGCAAATTATGCCCACTTTTGACAAATGCTTTTTTTGGCAACAGAAGCCATACTGGTTGAATTTCATGCCATGAAACATACAATATTTAAGTAAATATGCTTATAATTTCCATATCAGCACCCTCAGCATGCCAAAACCTTGCAAGTGGAACCACACAGCTCAAGAACAATGGGACCACAATGCTATAATGGAAAAAGCAATCTTTTGTGCTGATGGATTTGCAAGGCAAATACTGCAGCATACAGCAGCACCTGTGACCTCATGTTGGACAAATGACTGCTCTTATCTGGAATAGTTTTAAAATGGCAAACATCTTGAGCCATGTAACAATAATAAAAAACAATGCTACAATTTAGAAGCCACTCATGCTTGGTGACCTGAGGCCAGGCATGCATGCACACAGGAAAGCTCAACATTTATGGAAGATATCACAAGTTTAAAAGCATGATGATTTTAACAAAAGCTATTGTTACAAAATGTTCCACTCATGGAAGCAATGAAGCAATGAAGGAAGCACTAGCCCAAATTGAGCACTTCAATAGCTTTGATATGACAAATTATCTGAGTGGAGAACTTCATTTCTGAAGTGATATTAGAAAGCTGTACACAGATCAATCTGCATTGAATGTGATATTCAATTCCACTGGATAGATTCTCCATCATCTGTGGAACTGCTTTGCCAGGTTGGGGTGGGTTCCTCACAATGGGTTATGTTCAGCTGATCTCAAATAATTGATAAGTGATGAATCATAACTTCCTTGATAATTAATAAGCTAGTTAACTATCTTAGGTATAATTTAAATGTAAACCATGAGCCAAATCACTGGCTCTCATAACAGTGAACTGAATTGAGATGTTAATATGAATGCTAAAGGAACTTGTTTAAGGTTGGTAATTTTGCAAAATCAGCACACATTCAGCATCATCAGTACAGTACAGTCATTATCAAATGGCTGTGAATTAACTATTTAACAACCAAAACACATCAAAATCAATAGGCAAACATTGTAAGTATCAAGAAATCTAGGACTGAACCATTGAGCTGAGATGTGAATTGACAAAAAATCCATACCAGGCAAAACCATGATGAATCAAATCTAAATTGTTTAACAAGGAGCATAAGCCAATGGTGAATCAATTCTCAAAAAATGAATCACATCCCACAGGAGCACATGCATGGAGGTTGTATAAGATACTTGCCTGGACAGATGTTTACAGAATCTGGCACATTTATCTCTGACTGGTATCTCTGGATTTGTATGTGATCCCCTGGGCTTTAAGGTCTCTGATGATCTCAGGAGGTAGGCGACCAGTGACAGATATCGCATATACACCTTTGACGAAGCGGTTGATCCTTTGCCATTTACACACCCAGCTGTCCTCTGGACTCATCACAGCTATAGTACCATCAAAGTTGGAACTTGTGCAGTCATGGACATTTTCTCTATTCCTTTTCATCCGCAAGAACTCATCACAGTTGTCACACCCATCAGCTTCAAACTGTTCGAAATGCTTGATGATCGAGCACAGAAGACAAGCCCGCAAATTTCTTGTATCTTTTGGAATTGAGTCCAAGGGACATTTTCGCAGCGCTTCGCAAAGTACCCTAAAAATGATCAAGGTAAAATACAGGCGCACAACAATTAGCAGCGTAATGCCACATAAACTGCCGGCCCACACACGACCCCGATGCACCAATATGGCGATTATCCACCTCTCCGATCGCGTCTTACCTCCGGAGACAATCACGCCGCATTGATACCGCTGACTCCAATTCTGACCGCTAGGCGGCTGCTTTACGGGAATTCCCGTCGCCTGAGTACGGTTCTTCTCTAGCTATTCTATGAGCTGCAATACTCTGTTTTAGTTGTTTAAGTTGAAGGGATGCTGGAATGGTTCTACTGTCTGGTGCGACTTAAGAACTTATTTATTTTTACAGCCTGTCTTCTTCATCTATTTCACTTATTTGTGGCTTACACGACAAGCGGGACAGGAGCGCACCCTTGGCGAGCCGTTAATTAAACGTGTCTTCAGGGTGTGACGTAGGAATGCTGACAATAATTGTACGTATGTGGAGGCTTCAAGTTCCAAAAAAGACATCTGCGTGTTCTCCAGCCGGTGTACAGCTAACAGAATTTCAAGGACTTCTGGGCTGTGATACCCTTGGCTTATCCCGTTTCTTGGAGTGGTAATGACCGTTGAACGTGCCCTGGCCTCCGAGCGGTCGCATGTTTCACCCACGCATCAGAAATGTCTATTTGTACTTCTCAACGGGAGCCCCATGGATGCGACAGCTGAATTTAGTCCACATCTGAGATTGGGACCGAAAGAGCAGTGTTTGGGGGAGGGGGGTGAACTGAAGTCGGAGAACAATCTGACCTGAAAATGGCATATTTGAAATGGAAAACAAATGCCTTGCGTGGGCTGAATTGGGAAGGAACAAAATCCGCGTGGAAAAATTGGTGGATTGCTCCCGCCTCCACCCCCCCCCCCCGCGGCCCTCTGCGATTACACCCATGACCGCACCGCTACCCAATCATCCCAGATTGCCCCATTAGGCCTGTGGCGACGCATTCCAGGAATGACCCAAAGCAGTCCAAAATATCCCACACTGCGGGTTTTGTGCTTTAAAGATGTAATCGAAGCCTTTTGCCTGAATGGATTTCCAGGATCAGCGCCCGCACTATGACAACGTTTATTGCGTGAGACTTGACCCCACCATTCGCTCGTGAAATCGCAAGGCAGGGGATAATTTTGCGGCGAACTCTTAACGTGCCTCAATGTTCGGTACAGTCCCTCCAGTCCTGTGACGTCACCTGACCATTAGCGCGACCGCTGCCACCTGCCGCAAATTCTTCCATTCAGAGACAACGAACGCCCAGAGCGACTAGATTCCGTTTCGCGATAGATGGGTGAATCCGAAGGCTGGCGCTCCAATCGATTAAGTCACTGGGGCATACTTGGCGCATTTTCCTGGGCTTCTTCGTTTACGGACGGGGGGGGGGGGGGGGGAGAGGGGAGAGGGAGGCAAGAAACATTCTAAAATCTACCAGCTGTGAAGCGTGGTTGCCGCCAGTTCCACCCTTCATCAGTCCAGCGATTCGTGGACATGCTCAGAATTTCGAGAGAGCCGTAACGGTCGGCTGTACGCGAAGTTGTCTCGGGCGCGTCTCTCACCACAGCCCACATTCCCTGCCCTGGGTGGATCTCGTGCATGTCTGTATCGACGCTGCGTGGACAAATATGCCGCACCTGGCTCCGTCTGAGCTGTAACACTCAGCGGCTGATATATGCACGCCTCGCACACGTGTCTGGCACCTGGCATGACACGGCACCCGAGCGTCCCCTCCCCCCGCCCTCATGCCCAGGTCACGCCGCCGCCGCGTGGCGGGTCGCGGCGAGGACGGAGCGCCTCGCGGACGGTGTCTCCATTGAGGGGATGCCCCCCCCTGCTCCTCAGCGACAGACGGCTGGCTCAGGCCACAGCTGTATTAGCGCACCGGCCCACGTCACGAGCGGCAGCCGCTGCGGACACAACGGCAGTACAGCACAGCGAGCGTGCGGCAGAACTCTGCTCCGTGCAGCGGACGGCCGCCGCGACCCCTGGCGGCAGCCGTCGCCATCACAACCGGCCGCACGCAAGCCTCGCAGATAACCTCAACAGACAATGAAAACAACGGCTGACCACTGGCACTATTATACGGGAGGTGGCGCGGCCTCGGCAGGTACAACTAGCCTGGCTGCGGCGCGTCAGCAGGCGCGGACACGCAGGACACGTACAGGAAGCCTCAGGATTCACCAGTCAGTGTCGACCTGCCGTATTGCACCTATCACACCCTTGCACAGCCTTCTTCGCCGTCACATGGCCTTGTCCGCCTGACGCGTAACCACTCTGGCCGAAGCCCAACGACGCAACACATGTGCATAGCACGAACGCGCGGTAACGCTAGCCTGCCACTACTCTGGCAGTCAGTCAGATCAACTGAGGCTCCACCGGCGCTACGCAACAAGTCGGACAACGCCTTCGTTGCCAGGCAACGAGCCTGGCACAGCCGCCGCGATCCCGAGCACGGCAGCCCAGCGGCAGGCGGCTACTCAGGCCGTTGCCATGGGAACGGTCAGAAGCGCCCGCCGCTCCACTCCTCGGGCGAGCCGTGGTTGGCCAGCGCGCTGAGCACCGTGTAGTCAGCGCCGCCATTGTTGTCCCAGAACTCCTGGCCCTGGCAGCGGAACACCACGGCGAAGTGCAGCCGCTGGCCGGCCGACAGCGTGCTGCAGTAGAGTCGGAACTGGAACCGGTCGGACAGGCCGTCACACGAGCCGGGCACGTACGCGGCCACGGCGTCCGACCACGTGCGCCACTCATCGAGCGTGTAGCGCACGCACACCGACTTGAAGTAGTCCATGTTGAGGACGCGCACCACGCCGCGCACCGACCAGTCGTCGTCGTGCGTGCTCACGCGCTCCAGACACACCTTGTCGCGGCGCAGGCGGTCCTCGAGGCCCATCCCGCTGGTCGGCTGCAGGAACATGGTCACCAGCTGGCGCTGGGCGGCGTCCAGCGACGAGCCGACACAGCCGCCCAGCGCCGAGAACGCCACCGGGAACGTCGTCAGGAACGGCGAGTCGGGCGACGCCGAGAACAGGTCGGTCACGTCCAGGCCGCGGAAGGCAGCGGCCGGCACGTTCGGCACCTCGTCGCGGAACGTGCGCACCTGCTGCAGGTCCAGACCCAGCGCGTCGGCGAAGCGTACGAACTTCTTGCGGCCGGGCGTCAGCGGCGGCGTCTTGCCCGACTTCAGCGAAGAGCTGCGCTTGAGACGGTCGGCTAGCAGGAACTCGGACGAGGCGCCGCTGGCCGAGGCCGTGCCCTCGTCGTCGTCCGGCGTCGGCTCGTCTCGGCCCGGGGCGGCAGCGGCGGTCGGCTCCTCCACCTGCAGCTGCAGCGAGTCGGGGCGCTCCGCCTCCGGCTCCTCCGATGGCGCCTCCAGCTCGAGCAGTTCGCAGCCGCGGCTCAACAGCTCGTGGATGTCCAGGTCGTCGGCGTCGGTCAGCGCGTCCTCCATGCTCTCATCGTCGGAGTCGTCCGAGCCGGGCGCGGCGGCCGGCGCCGGCTCCTGCTCCGACTCGCTCGCGTCGCGGCCGTCCTCAACGGTGCCGCAGCTCAGCAGCCAGGCGTCCACCTTCTCGCTGGGGCTCTGGTGCGGCTGACTGGTGACGTCACGCACGCGCCGGCCGCCCGGCACCGCCACCGGCGCCGACGCCAGTGGGTTTTCGTACAGGTGGCGCCGCGCGTCGTCTCCGCCGCCGCCGCCGTTGTCGTGCTGCCCCGCACCGCCGCGCTCCGCCGCAGCATGCCGTCCGCCGCCGTGGCCGTTGAGCCCGTTGTGGAGGGTGTCAGCGTCGGCATCGACGTCGGCGTCAGCGTCGGCGTCGGCCGTCGGACTGGGAGTGCGCTCCTCGCTGCCGTTGGTCGGCGAGGAGAGCGCACAGCCCGTGTCGGCGCCGCCGACAGGGCCGCCGCCGCCGGAGGACGCCACCAGCATGGCGCCGTCCAGGTCGTACTCGAAGAAGGCGTCGGCGTCGGCCGGCTCGATCGGCGGCCGGCTGCGGCGCGGCCCGTCCGTGATGACGTCAGTCGTGTCGGCCGGCGGCGTCAGCAGCGGGCCGTCGGCGGCCGCCACGCCGCGGCAAGCGGAGCGCAGCAGTGTCAGGCACAGCGGCGCCGACGGCGCCGCCGGCGAGTCGCACCGCTCAGCCGCGCCCCCCTCCGGCGCCCGCTCCAGCTCCATCGTCTCCCGCGCACGCTACGCCACGCGCCATCTGCCGGACAAAGGCGCGCGTTAGTTCCGGGCGGCGTCCCCGGCCGTCCCGCGGTTACAGCTCCGCACGAGCGGAGCTGGTGTCGCATGGCTCGGACAAATGCCCAGGTGCATAAGGTGGAGCACACGGCGCCAGCTCCACTCGTGGACAGGGTTACAAATCACATGAGCTTCACCACAGCGGACTGTGCCAGCGGAAACGCCACTTGAACATACACGGCAGCACGCACCTGGTACCCTCCTCCACTGGACGCCGGTGACGCCACCTATACCGCAGCAGTGGTCCCGCCCAGCCAGCTAAGCATCCTGTCCCCCTTGCACCCACCTATCCGAACCAATCGTTGAACGGACATTCTCTACGTGACGTTAGGTTGCAAGCGTTCTGGAGAAAGCTGTGCGATGGCTGCTGCAGCGGTGACACCAGCCATAGTCGCAGATAGCGTAACGTGCCGTGCTGCCAATCCTCACGGCCTGCGCCTCTTCATACAAAAAGTAAACTTTTCAAAAACCTTGTCGGGTCACTTCCAGCCCAATCCAAGAACCGGTAAGCTGGCGCTTTTGTGGTCTACACATAACCGCCTCCTTTTTCTTGACATGAGCCTCTCACCGACCACGGCGCATACCCAGCATAGGACAGCTAGTCAATACAAAAAAGCACACGCCTAACCCCGGCTCCGCTAAAGATGGCTGGCGCTGCGCTCACAAATGTCACAAATGTGACCTGGCTCAATGTGGTCCTGCCCTGAAATACATGGTGTCTCCTCAAGCGCCCTCGAATATTCAGCACGCTGCCGACAAACAAAAAAGGCAGGGCAGCGACCAAGCGGTCGCTTCTGCTGGTTTTGCGATTGCCGAAGACGGACGTAGGTGCAGTCAGCGGCAACATGAACCCGCAGCCGGAGCCAGCAGAGAGCCAGACCGACAGCTGCGGACTGCATCGGACTGTACCGGACCGAACCAGATTGTACCGGATGGCACCGGACTGCGCCGGACTGCACCAGACCGAGCCGGACCGCACCCGACTGCGCCGGACAAAGACGGCGCCAGAGACACACCCGCCCCCGGGGCACTGGCGGAGTCCATGCCGACGTCGCCGACCAGCAACACGCCCAGGAATCCGCTCCGGGATCACCCCAGCCGCGCAAGCCCCTAATCAAAGCGTCAGAAATAGCCGGGCCCTCCGGTCAGCGAGGGCCATCCACAGATGAACAAGGGGGCGAGCGAGCGGGAGAGGCCGTCGGGGGCGTGCTGCTTCCGTCCAGCGGTCACAGACCCGTGGCGGCGTCCAGTGGCCGTGCCGCAAAGGGCAGGCCGAGGACAGGACTGGCGGCGTTCAGAGGCCGTGCGGCAGAGGACAGGCCGGGGACAGGGCTGGCGGCGTTCAGAGGCCGTGCCACACAGGACGCCAACGCACCATGGATGGCGTCGCTGCGCCCACGGGGACCGCTCCCAGACGGTCCGGTCAGCACGCCACCACGCCAGGCCTGACGACGGTCAGGACCGCAGCTGGTGGCGTGCCGACTTGTTAATGTATTACGTCAGGCACCCTAAGCACGCCACTGCAGAGCAAGACTTGCGGTCGTTCTAGCTGGACCGCTCTCAGTGTTATGGTCTGCCATGCGCTACATGGTACAGCGTCCAGTGTCATCGACCGAGGAGCAGCGACTGCTGCCACGTCGGCGCGGGCGCCGGCCGGTGTGAAGCCCCATCGGCCGGCGTGAAGCCGCGCTCGAAAATCCATGTACATCTGCCCAGGTAACCCGCCAGGGTCACGTGACAGTCATGTGGTCCGGACTGGCAGAAGGCGCGTGTAGCGACGTGAATGCCGCGCGTTAGCACGCGGTGGCGCTGGAACCTCGGAAATGCAGTGCAACAGGGTGGTATGGCGATGATGGAGAACGAGCACCACACACTTCCTCAGACTCATGTCGCGGAATACAGGCATCGTCATCATCGTCGTCGTCATTGGGGCTTCATGACCCACTCGGCTGCTGGGGCTATATGGCGCCGCCTGCCTCTCACCCTGGTGGGAAGGGCGGGCACCGCGTTGAATCGAACCCCGTACCTCTGGTCTCCCCGACGCGCAGTGGCTAACGCAGACGCGTCAACCACAACACCATCGGCACCTAAAGATAGGTGTCGGCCTGGTTATCTGCCGCTTGTAACGAGCTCGCACGGCCGACGGTCGTGCCCCGTTGGTCTATGAATGATAAATGGCATGCGTTAACTGTAGCGTTCACCCCTCAGCCGTCACTGACCAAGAATGCATAGTAAAACGTCGGGCGCTGTCTAACCGCGCGGCCCAAGCACCCGAAAGCCCTAATTACTACTACCACTACCATAGTTAAAACAAGGGCATGTCAAGCGCCATGTTGTTGATCGGCCACAGATTACAGCCAATCCACGCTTCAGTGTCCACCGTGAGCGTGGAAGAAGGAAGCCGACGAGGGGCAAGCGTGGAAGAAGGGAGTCGACGAGGAGCTAAGATGGGGAACAATCGCACAGCTGGACCATGAACAGAAAAAAGAAACGTGACAACCATCCCAGATGATGAATCGGATGAGTTCAAATGGAAGGCGCCCACTTAAGTCCAACCAACACAAAAACCAAACGTGAAAACGATCTCGGATGATAAAGCGCATAATTTTAAAAGGAATGCGCCAAATTACTCCATAGACTGCCCTTGAGTGGGAACTCGCGCATTTCAGCAAACACGGGCAGATACCAGGTTCCCACACCTTGTTAAAAAAGACGCACGTCTGGTGGTCCTCTACACCTGTCGTATCCGGGCGGCGACAGAGGGGTCTCCCAGCACGAGCACACGCCATGTCCCGCCCCCAACGCCAGACCGCGTCAGAGCTGACAGCGGAGCAGGTGCGGACCCCAGAGCCCGTGCTGTCCCAGGCCAATCTGGCACGGCACCTACAGCTGATGTCGTGCCAGCGGCCACCGCAGATAACAGCATATACCCCGGCGACCGTGGTACGCAGGGTACCAGTCAGGGCACGTACCACAGCGTACCCCAGCGGCAGTGGTACGCTAGGGTACCGGCCAAGGCACGTACCTCAAAGTGCGCCACCGGCCGTGGTACGTCAGGGCAAAAGGCGCGGTACCTAACCCCGGGACCACGGACCGTCAGGGCAGAGGAAGTGGTACGTACCCCAGCGGCCACGGACCGTCAGGGCAGAGGGAGTGGTACGTATCCCAGTGGCCACGGACCGTCAGGGCAGAGGGAGTGGTACTTACCCCAGCGGCCACTGACCGTCAGGGCAGAGGGAGTGGTACGCATCCCAGTGGCCACGGACCGTCAGGGCAGGGGAAGTGGTACTTACCCCAGCGGCCACGGACCGTCAGGGCAGAAGGAGTGGTACGTATCCCAGTGGCCACGGACCGTCAGGGCAGAGGAAGTGGTACGTACCCCAGCGGCCACGGACCGTCAGGGCAGAGGGAGTGGTACGTATCCCAGCGGCCACGGACCGTCAGGGCAGAGGGAGTGGTACGTATCCCAGTGGCCACGGACCGTCAGGGCAGAGGAAGTGGTACTTACCCCAGCAGCCACAGACCGTCAGGACAGAGGGAGTGGTACGTATCCCAGTGGCCACGGATCGTCAGGGCAGAGGGAGTGGTACGTACCCCAGCGGCCATGGACCGTCGCTTCCTCACCAGCGGGAGCGCGCGGGTCTTCGGGCCACCGGAGGCGCGCCACCACAACGCAGCCTTTCTGGCGGACGACCTTGCCATTCGCGCCAAAACACCGTCAAGGTCACATTGGCAAGACGCGCGCGCGTCATGGAGCGGCGTGCGCCGAACGGTTGCATCAGACGATCAATGGTGGCCGGACGAGCGCGCCGTCGGCAGCGGCTCGCGCTCCGCCGGCCCAGCCAAGTCACCGGGAGTCCCGCCAGGCGGCGCCACGGCGGCCTGGAACACGGCTGTCAGTTGGACTGTGGGGCCTCCAAACTGCCAACGTCAAGGCTCCGTGGGCCCGCTTGCACCGTGGCAGAGGCCCTCTCTCGTGTGGCATCGCAAGAAGTTCCTGCACGGTCCTGCAGAATCGGGACGCTCTGCGGGAGGATGGCGTTGCCTCCTCGCGCCCCCCCCCCCCCCCCCCACCCCCTTCCCTCCCTCGAGCGGATATCCCCAGCAAATACTACGGCCAGACAGGTACCGGACGTACGAGCAGAGAAACCGTAACCACTAGGGCGGATAAACGTTCGAATTCGAGTTGACAAGTAAACACCTGGGGAGGCTCGTTCACCGTCCTTCCAAATGGCTCTCGCAGGAATCCGCGGCGGTGGACGCTCAGTCCCGTCGAGACGACAGATTGGCAACACCTGACACGGCATGGCTCGAAACGGGCCGCTCCGCCGCTCAGCAGCCGCATGGAGCGGGGTGCGTCTTCTCCCGCTCGCGCCATCACGCTACGCGAGCTGCCGCCACTGACACAAGCTGCCGGACGTAGTAGCTATCACATGTCGTGGCTACCACGCTTCCGTACTCGCTCACAACGAGGGCGAATGGCCAGCCTCCAAGCCCATAGCCGTAGTGCCACCGGCTCTGCACCGCACCGGCATGACATTGTGCTGGACTGCACTGGGACGAGCATCCCACCATCAATGCCAGGGATAGGACTAGTCAGGGTCGCGCAGTCTGCGTGGAATCTGTCGCATTACGCGAGTGCATCATGTGGAAAAGTCATGAGGAAAAACTACATGGATAAATACGTCCCAGAGCACGTCGGGAAATGCAGCGTGTCGTTTAGTAGAGGACACCGCATGTATTCCTG